ACCCCCTAAGAGTGAGCCTATTATATGCCCCACCCTGTATATATATTTTATTGAATGGACTTCCATTGGGGAGCAAGCACAACGAAACCAAATTGTTGGCAATAATTAAATTATGAATCATTTTATGTGCAGCATGCGATTGTTAGTAGCTCAACTACAAAAGACAAACACCATGCACACACATGTATAATACACACATATAAAAGAATGGGGGAGCAAAGAAACTTTCGCAAATGGTTCTTTTTAACTTTACTTTTAATATGATTGAAAGACATTTAAAATGTTATGCGTCTGTATGCGATAGCAGTAATGAAAAATGTCATAAAATTTCTTATCTCGACATGGCTCTCTAATGTCTGCGTCTTTTTTCTTCGTATTCCCGGTTTTTTTGGGCTTTTGCTTTGGTTGCGTGTGCTTTTTGTGTCTTCTTTGTACATACTGCATTCAATATTGTGCACTTTGACGTTCATAAGCTGACGAGTATGTGCTACTCAAAAGCTGGATGATGATGATGACTCTACAACGACGACGACTGTTTGACGCTTGCTTCTATTCTTCTTTCATCTTTTTTTTCTCTGTCAAACACACGTTTTTTTTACTCGCTACTGATTTTCACATGCATTTTCACTTCATTCATTTTTCTGTGTCCCAACCATTTATTTCTTTTTATCTTTTTTTTATATTGTACTGAACAATTTTAACGCCACCTTTTTTTTATTCGGTTCGTGCTGCTCAACCACATGCCATCATATCTACAAAAAAAAATCACATCAAAGGTATGCGAATACTGGTAATGCTGTTGCTGGATACATTGCCAATGTTGGGAAATGTATTACTGCTGTGCTTTTTCGTATTCTTTATATTTGGTATTGTTGGCGTTCAACTATGGGAAGGTATATTACGACAACGGTGCGTGCTTCAATTGCCGGATCATGTGGCTGCTCCCAAGTAAGTCCATCCATTTCAATTCCATTCACTCACTGTCTGAGACCAGTTTTGAATCTTACCGAAACCAAACAAAAAAAAAACCAACAAATAAATAAAAACAAACAAAAAAAAAGAAAAATTGTACAAATTTTAATAGCATATTCTTTTTTTCATACGTTCGGTTCATACATTCTCATTTCAATCCTCTATATTTATATGCTAGAGATTATTTATAGGACATAGGACAGTATATTTACTTAATAGAAAATCATTACATCAATTTATTTACCACCCATATAAAAAAATTATATAGCCAATTTGCTCGCAACTCTCGTTGATACAAATTTCGCGCCGGTTTATCTCTCATTTCACAATTTTACCATTTCACATTTACATTTTAATTTCAAGTGTCTTTTCGTTTTGTATATCTATTCCATTTACACAAATGTATATATGTCTCTCTTTCACTCTCTTGATATATATACTACTCATTTCGTCTGTCTTCAAAATCTTATGCTACAATTTTTATTTGTTCTGTTGTTTTTCTTGTCATGCATTTCATAATAACTCGCAGGAAAACATCAACCAATTGACTTTTAACCATTCCAACTTGCCCATTGAGTTCAGTTCACCAAACAAGTTCAAAAACTTCATCATTGTATAATATAATATTAGCATTTCATTTTATCTTTTCGCATAAATATAACGTTTATATTCGTATCTATATGATGTGCAAATGTTCATTCGTTCTCTTACCTCTTTCACCAAATTTGGTCCCTTCCATCAATACATCCAACCATTCGGTTCGGTCCGTTCGTCCGTCCATCCATCTACCTCGATCCATATAAAAAATTCGAATGATTTTCAAATGAAAACTTTCGCCAGAGACCACTTTCCCTCGTTCTCTCTGTCGTTCGTTCATTCATATTTTTTTTGTTTGTCTGTGCACTTCTGTGAAACGATATATAAAAAAGAAATATATTGTTCGTGGTGTTCATTTTTGGTCTCGTCATTCGGACCATCTATGGTGCACGGAATGAGCTTTCATCGAACTTGATTCATTTGTGTGATGAAGAACAGTGTGAGCGACTGTATAAAACTGTGCGAACTCTCTGCTGATTCGGCACATGCTGAGTTTTGTGCACCGTATATATTATTTCGTCTTTTGTATCGTGCAGCCAAACATTGTTTATCTTTTCACAACAACAAATAAATATATGGATGATATTTGAAGAGCTTTTGTATGTGCTATCAAAACTTGAGCTATCGTCTCTCTGTCGTTCACACAAAAACCTCATCACATTGCGTTGATTGTTACGATGAATGCTCATTTTGCACGAAAAATTAAGACAAACAGAGTATAAATCAAATTCAAAATATGTTTAGCGTTTACTTTTCATTTTACTTACTTACTGGCACATCAATCCATCCACCATCAGCAGCATTCAAACAGGTTTCTTCGATGTTTCTTTCTTTATTTAATTTACCATCCAAATTGGCTTCTGAAATGAAATTAGTTTGTCCTGGCAGGGGAGCATATCGTCGAGGGTCTTTTGTCTGCACCTCCCTCTGAATATAAAACTTTTGGAATTTGTTATTATTTTTTGTTGTTGTTTGCTTTTGTTTCTCTCATTCATTTTCTCCCTTTGGCTACTTCTTTTCTTGCATTAAGTTTGCAAAGAAGAAGAAGAAAGAAAAAAAATTGTTCAAAATGTAGTTATCATCATCGTTCAGTTAATTTATACACGTGGGTTTTCCGCTCATTCACGCAACGAGCGCGACTCTTGCCCTTCATCACAAAGGTAAAACCAAAGGGTGAACAAAAAGAGAAACCAGTCTGGCGTTTAGGGAAAAAAGATGGAAAATATATCGAGTAGTATTGTAGTACATTAGAAAATTAGGAAAATGGTCAGCCCGCGATGGTGTATGTGCGTGCACGCGCATGTTGTGCGCGTTAAAATGCCTGCATTTCTATTCAAGACTCGCGGCAATGGCAGTAAAATGGTAGCAACAGTAGTCGACATGAACACCAGCATAGTTGCTGTGTTGACTGCCACACGATGTGAGAAAAGGGATAATGGTGGTAATGTTAACGGAGCGGAAGTGATTTAGCACAATTTCAGCCGAGCATTTCAGTGATTTAAATGACTCGGCATATTTTCCATGCAATTCATCCCGACGACCGTCGTTGATGGCCATTTATGATGAAAAGTGAAATAAAAAAAAGAATAACACAACCGCCTAATTGGAGAATCTCATAGAAAAATCGTCTCTCATTTTTATATATGCCACAACATTCGGTGTGTTAATGGTCGTGCTGTGTACCACTGGATGGTTTTTTTCTTCACTGGACCATTGATGATAACCGAAAACCATACAAAAGTCAAAAAAGCATTGCTTTTTTGCACCTTGAAAACCAAGCACTGACGAATCTGCATCATGTCCCTCAACTTTCATCTTTCAATTTTTGATAAATAGGTCGCGCGCACGTGATCACATTTAATGCACGATGAAAATGTTTACGGTACATTTTCCTAGGGGGTAGACACATGGAATATTACTTGAGATATTCACCGAAATTGAAGGTATTCTTGGTATTCTTGGTATTCTCAGTTTTAGACGAAATGTCAATGCATTCAGCAACGTCTCACAATGTGCATATCTGAATATTATCTTCCAAATATTAAAAAAACTTTTTCAACGCTATTAATTGTAGTATTTCAATTGGTTTAATAAATGCAAAAACAATTTTGATCAAAATAACAGAAAGAAAACAGAAAAAATTAAAATAAATTACGAAATGGTGAATGTTAAAACGAAATGGAAAAAACTTGAAATCTTTATTACCGATATCAATTTGACATTTGGTAATCACGGTATTCACATTTTTAGTACAAGTAATCTTTAAATAAGTAAGTAATTGTAGTATTTGAAAATAGATAGGTATTATGACAATTCATTGGTATTCATTCATTCTCTATTGTGTCTACCCCCTAGACATTTTCCATGCATACACAATATTGAATTGAATGCCATTACTTCAATGTGAATGCTAAAAAGAGAGAAAAAAAAGCGTACATAATAATCCAAAGTTCATTTATCACATTTATAATACGCAAACAAATCAAAAACTTACGTGTCTCCTGCGTGTATTTACTGTTGACATTCGCGTCATATTCCAATTTTACCGTCGAAGCTATTATCATCGTCGTGGCCGTTGTTGCCGTTCTCGTTGTTATAGTTTAAATACACCTTTTAACCACCACCACCGTCGCACACACACACACATAGCACCTAAATAGTGATTACAATGCGAGCACGAATTACATTCTCGTTGCTCGGTTATAATTTGGTTTTCGTTTGCTTGTATGCCTCGAATGTGAAAATTTCACGTGTATACGGTTTCATTGTCGAAATGTGTTGCTTTTATCCAAACAGAAATGCAATCGAAACCCAAATAACTCTCTCTGCCACCACCATCACCATTGCCTCCGTCACCGTCGCATAAAAAAACACATACACACAGGATAAAAGCATACCGAATTTCGACTGACATATTAAAATATATGTAAATAAATCATAAATTACAATTTGAATGTTAGGTAAACGTTTTTATATTTTCGTAGTATGTATTTTTCGTTCATTTATTCATTTCGTATTTTTTCTCGCGTTTCGTATGTCGGCGAGGTTTTCATTGCACGCTCATAATTTATACACCGACAATAAGATTCCATTTGTAACAAATTAACGAAAATGAAAATTAGAAAACTTTTTTCGGCCACTTTTTTTTGTTTCTTCATCAGCCAAAACGAGCAAAATACTGGGCCAGTACATTTTAGCAAACCAACAACAATCAATATGACCGCGTCTCCTGTGCTTTTTATGGTCTCAACTTTTGAATTATAACTGTAATTCATTTGGTGAAATTTTCATATTAACCAATAGACGAATGAGAGCATCAATTAATTTCACCGATCGAGAGCAAAACATTTAAACCAACACACGGCATATTGCATAGCACGAAAACCAAATTCAAAACCATCCAATTAACTTAATAATGATGTTCGAAAAACAATAGATTTTCGGGTAGTTTTGATACATGCAATCGAAATTTGCGAGAGTCGTTAATTAAAGTTTGCCACATTGTTTTGTTTTCTAGGGAATTTTCCAATGTAAATCCCCAACTGTAGTATGCGTTTATGTGGGATTGTTACAAAATATATAGAGACTTTACTAGATTTATGTACATTGTATACTTGTGTCTGTCGATTCGCTCGCTCAATAGACCTTGTTCGTTGTGAATATTCCACAATTTTTTTTGCGATAATTCATTTATAGAAATGCTCACAAGACAAAAGCATTGTTTTATAGTATAGAATCCAATTCGGCATACCATTTTCAATTTGTACGAATTTTTTTTCTCTTGTTATTTTATCATCCCGATGGAAATCTGTCGCGAGAATGCCTTTGTTATCATGACTGGATTACCGAAATCAAACCCATATTTAGCCCAATGTTATATAATTAATTGTTGAATAATAGAGCCTTTACTTAGAAAAAAATATGTATAAGAAACTTACACCCACCCAAATCACTCCAACGCTAAAAATGATGATGGTCATGAATTTGGCTTTGTTCACATTAGAATAGTTAGCTCGAAGGTATTTTTCTCTTAGATTTATTTTTTTTCGTGAAAGAAACAAAACAAACCCACAATCACCGACTCTTATAATTTATTGATGTGAAGGTCGTCGAGTCGACTCGGTCGACAATGTAAATATTTTTCCCACATCATTTTCACTCATGAAAAACTCATTCATCATTTCAAAAAATTATATGATATTTCGTTATAGAACGTCTCTTTCTCTTTCTCTCTCACTCACTTCACATGGATTGATTATATAAGGCGAAAATGGTTTCATAAAATTTTATTATATAGTGCACAATCAGCGAAACCGTCAAAACTATCGACTTTCATAATGGCTTTTCAATCAATCTGTCGCTTTGCACACATTTATATAGATATATATTGATTTTACGTCGACATATTTCTTTTTTGTTTTATTTTTAAAAAAATGGTGTCTCTCTTTTTTCTCATTCCGAAAAACTTTCAAACGAACGAGGAATGAATTGATACGAAACATAATGATTGAACTCCATGGATGAAATTTTAAGTTTGGTTCGCTTGTTTTCTTCTTCGCTTGTTTTTATTCTCTATCGATATACAACGAATAAAAAAAACTCTACTTTTAATCAATATTTCGATGTTGCTTATGAATTCTCTGGAAAAAAACACATCAACTATGAGCAACGAGAGCAGAGCTTGCAAATCGCTTTCCTTTTTTTAATATAAATTTTCTTTTTGCATTTTGAACAGATGCTTTTCAATATGATGTAAATATTTATATTCAACTGTCTCTCTCTCTCTTTCTGGCTTTTTTTTTATTTCAACTATTTTTCAAACCATTTTTATGTTCGCTTTTGTTTTGATTTCCTTTTTTTTCTCCCTCAACAGAGCAAAGAAATCGATTACATTTTAAGACTTAACAATTCGTATGGCAGTAATAAAAAACTATATGGACTATAAATTACAATGAAAAGATCAACCAAAGAGAGATTGTTCGAGGCCATTTCGCATGGATTTATCATCGTCGGCCATCTCGACGGAGTCAAAGCATCTTGTCAGTTGCCAATCGGTTTTTTATTGCTGCCGTCAGAATTTCAAACAAAGAACAAAAATCTATTTTAGCAAATTTTATTTTTAAAATATATTTTTATTGAGACAACAACATTTTTGCCTATACTTTCAACTGAGAAATTAAACTCAAATCAAAAGGATTGAGAGATAAAAGACAAGATACATAATTTTTTTTTTCGTTGCTTAAGTGAAATGTCAAGGGAAAGTAGACAGAAAAAAAATAACAGATTCAATTCAAAATTCCAAATCAAAATGAATGAAACATAAAGCAAAGCGCTTGGATTTTTATATTACAGGGATCTACCGGACGATTACAGAGTTCGAGTTCGAATCAATTCGTAAGAGACTAAATCACCTCATTACAAATAAAAAAAAACACACACACATACACACATACACTCACACCAACACTCGCATTGCCAATGCGCCACGCGTTCATCATTTTGTGTTTTTCGCAACTCAATTTTCACGACTAAAAAAAAACCCACCGAAGTGATCCAATCAATTCTCATGCCGAGACAGACAATATTCGAAGCGCGATTGATAATAGCTATTCAAGAAATGAGAACATCGTCATACGTACGCAACACAGAATGTACATAATTTTTCAACCCGAAAATCGAAAATCTACACGTAAAAATCACTTCAACACTCTCACAAAATAAATGATTCGAGAATTGGTTGGTATACAATCAAAAGAGAAATCGCAACCATCATTAGAGCCACAAACACAGATTGCAAACATACGAACCTAGAGGATGAGCACCGAATTTCAATTCTATTCAACTAAATTCAATTACACAATTTTTCTTTTCATTCGCATTCAAAGTTGTTTCTTTTCCACAGTTTCCTTTGTCAATTCAATTGGTTCATTTGTACTTTTTTTGTGTTCATTCCTCCTCCGGTGATTGTATTTGTTGTTGTTGTTGTTGTTGTTGTTGTTGATTTATTTTCTGTTTTGGATATTCAATCCTGTTGAATACACTCGCCACAGTATACAGTTACATGGGAAAAAGCGACGACCACGCGCACCAGTCATATTAAATAATATGCCCAGTGGACAATATCCGTACCACACGCCATTTGAAATCGTATGTTAATTATAGCCCATTGAAACGTTGAATAACTCATTTTCGAAACATTGAACATTACGCGGCGCTTGAGAAAATATAGTCATTAAATTGATACTGTGTTTTTGGCTTTTGCGAAAATAGCATTTACACACAGCCGGAAAAGAGCACATTTAATGTATTTGTTACGCGATTCAGCCAAAATGCATACATTTATATTAATCGAAATCGTAATCGTGGTGCATTAATAAAATAATTCGATAAAAATCTGCCTTCAATTTTGAGCCATTGAAAAATGCAACAAAATTCACTTTTTGTGTTCAATCGTCTGTTTCATTTATTTTCCCCCTTTTAATTTCGCATAAAATCATGCAAATGACCACGATGGCTAGGCAATTGTTTGCAAAAAAAAACTTAGATTAAATGCGCAATTGAATAATTGGCATTCATTTTCGTTGATACAGATTTTAGTTTTTTTTTCTGATCATGTGAATATCGTTTTTCGCTGTGATTTATTGACGTTCCAATTTTTCAATTCGTTTTTATCTTGCGAAAAATGCCAAACCATTGAACACAAGTACAAAATTGCGGTTTTTCTTTTAAACAAATTGGATGCTGATTTTTTGGTCTGATGTCTGTGCTTTAATTTTACACTCAATATAGAATTTACAAAAAAAAAATGTAGAACATTGTGTTTTAAATTGAAACCACAGTTCGTGTAACAGATGTGTGATATACCAAAGTACATTTTGTCGAATCGATTAAAATGTTTACTCTGACGAGCATCGTAATTGAATTGATATAAAATGGAAAAGGCAAATCGTTTAGAGCGATTAATTTCATTCAATTGAATACATGATTGAGCTTCTATCCCTTTTTTCCACCTCAATAGAAGAAATAAAATGAAAAAAAGAAACATTAACACATGCAATCTGAATTGTTAATCCGGTGATTACCTAAAAATCAATCGATCAAACGTACATGAGTTAGAATTTTCGAATCGCATTTTAATGATACGATTTCAATGAAATCTCAATTTTTCATTTAGAAATAAAACGCGCTAACCAGCACATTAATTATTTACACTAATTTCAATGGCGTATTCGACCCCGTACACGTATACACCATCGGAGAGCAATTAATGATCGGCGGTAAGCCGTTAATACGGTGTAAACGAAATAGTAACATCGACAACAAAGACATAAAACATTCATTGTTCAAACGCTGAGGTAGTAATACAACAATAGCAAATGGCACACATATATAAATAGATAAAAAAAAATAGAGATAGAGCGTATGTGCACACATCAATGGAAAAGCAATTCCATATCGCGAATATACCACTATTGCCACCACCAACGAACGACTGACATAAAAACGAGATTCTATTATTGTTGGCGGCATTTCAGAAGACATAAAATTTCACAATACATATTTTCTATGACAACAAATAACAAAAAAAGCGCCAAACAACAAATAACACGCGCATCGAAGTAAAAATAAATGGTGAAAAAATGTAACAACATATGAAATGCGGAGCGAGAGCGATGAAGAGAGAGCGGGATACAAGGAGAGAAAGCGAATGTGCAGGGCAAATAAAAGTGACAGTTTGAGAAAGAGCGCTATTTTTTGCACATTGATTTTTTGACACGACATCATACAATCGAACGCGCACCCGATGCGAACGTAAAACAAAAAAAAACAACATCGACAACAACATATTTCCAACGTCAGTCATATTGGTGATAGTATAGATGAAGAAGATCAACAGAGTAAAAAAATAAACATACAATACAGCCGTATATATTGTGTGGCCCGAAAAAAAATCATCATCATATTTTCTAACATTGTATGGCACACACTCAGCCACGTTCCCAGCCAATCAGATACGTTATAAATTACGTGCACTAAATGCTGTACGATGTTTGCAAGTGATAATATCGCCGAAGCGCGCATTCGATGAACATTTATTATTATTTGTTATTGTATTATATTTTTAAGCGCGCCGAAAGCGCATTGAAGCATTAATCAATAAATAAATACCGTGAAATGACACAGAATATACCGCCGAGACCAGCAATTGGAGTTACGTGCAAAGCGTCATTGTAGTTCGCGAGAGGACTCGAACAACAAGAGCGTAATGAGCAATAAAGCACATGACATCAAATCGGTACTAATTGTAAGAGCTTTTGAGGAGCCGAGATTGAGTGGTGAGTGTCGAATGGCCACCAAATAGATTGCATCCCCCTTGTACTGCAAACCTGACGATTTTTTCTTTATGAAAAAATCATATGTACACACACACGTCAGAGAGGAAAATGTGGACAAAACCAAATGTGTCACATTTATAATTCACGTATTGATTTGACATTTCCACATTCACTCTCACTCTCTCTCTCGTTCTCGCTTCGCTCTATTCTCTCTCGCCGCATAATACACACACATTATTCAGTGATGATCTTACGTAAAAGCGTACGTCTGCTTAGCCAATAAAGTTTGCAAAATACACACCACACACACACATTCACATTCATTGCCATTTATTTATTTTCCATTTTCAAGATTTGAATAAATAAACTCAATAAATAATGGAAAATTTAATTTGTTGTCAATGCGATTACTCGCACTCAATGGGTTCATTTCAAAAATTATCAGATGTATAATTTGCTTTTATTTGCAATGAAAACAAATGTTGGCCAAAAAATAAACAACACAAAAGCTTACTGAATTGCCAATGGTTTTTGGATGCTACACGTCTATTTATTCTATGACGACGAGCACTTTCCAACGAACATCCAGTGGTACGGATATAAAAATATTGAATCTATGGCATTTGTTTTCCGCTTTTTCCCTCACGTGATAGCCGCTTTGGAACATAAACAATTTATATATGAAGTACAGTGTACATTTTCCCTATTTATTATCACAACGTAATCACGAGCGTACTCAAAACGATACCCGACAAAATACGCAAAAACAAAGATCCAACCAAATTTGATTAGAATGAATATTTCATGCTCGACCGAATAACAGATGGAACCGAGAGAGAGAAACATAGACACACATACACAAAGCGGTTCGGTTCAATTAAATTCCATTGAAATTCTATTTGTGTGTGGTATTCGAAGCGGCTCAAGCTGCTTCAGAATCATCAACAAATGTTCCCTCAACAAAATGTGTATTTATTGACATGCAGCTCACTGAACATTTAACAAATTGCTACTTTCCATTATAAATCGATTAACGATTCTAATTGAATATGATTTCATGTTGATCATGACTGTTCCATCATATTAATTTGTTATTCGATTATTTTTTTTATTTCAAGAGACAAAAAAGGCACACAAACCGGCCTATTATCCGGAGATCATGGTACAATCGTTGCAATTGTTGTTGTTGCTCAATCGTGCGTCGTTTTTCAAATAACACTCCAAGTCTGTTGACATTCGGCTTTCGCAATTTTCGCAGATGATTTGTTGAACAACAAACACACCGAGCTGAAGTGTGTCTGTGTCGTGTCGACACACAGAGACCTAACGTAATACGATGATGATGAAGATGAAGAAAAAGTTAAGATGTACAAGTTAAAATTGACAAAAGCTGACGATATCATTATTAAGCAAATGGCTTAATAATTCAAATTCAAGGCGCATTTATCGCCACCCTTGTCGAACCTGTACAATTTAAATCGTCGTATCCACAGTATGGTTGTGCCACATTATGAAAAAAAGAAGAAAATCGTTATTTTGATATTCACGTCACGTCATACAGCGTAAACAAATCGCACAACACCCAACCATTCAGCCATCCAGTTACTCACTCACTCATAAAACACCTTTTTTATATGGTTTTTTTCTTTCGTGCTATTTTTTTTCGTTCGATACTTTTTTGTTGTTTTTCATATGCGCGGCGCGATGTGTGAGTGTGTCTCACTCACAGTGTGCGACACATTTCACTTTCAGATATTTTCTTTCTCAGTTTTGGTTTTTATATTCAACTTAAATTTGTCGGTGCTGTCACACACTTTCGAAATTTCAACAAGAAGTGAAAAGAAAAAGAAAAAAAAAACAAATTGCGGCAAAGAAATATGAGAATATGATAAATGGGATGCAATAAAAACAGTGGCATTTCGGATCAATGTGTAGATCTTTTCTGGCTTAAAGCGATCAAGTCAATTTTAAACATTATTGAAATACTTCTTTATTATTATTATTGTCATCTTCGTCGTTCTCTGTCTTCACGCGACTTTGTTTCGATTCAATTCAATAATAAAATCAATTCGAGAAAATCATGATTGCATCCTATTTCACAATTGAAAATCCCCCCAGAGACGTTAAACACGTACACACATACACTCAAACAAATACACACACACACACCTACAAATAAATGTTTAAAAAAATCCCCTTTTCTATCCGATTATTATGATTGAATTCCATTTAGTCGTTGTGTCGATATATTTTCTAAATAAACCGTACTCAAAGTGAAACTCTTTCTAATTGAATAAGCCAAATTTTATTACGATAAACTATACAACATCACACCTTCAACTCCAATGTTCTTTTTTCTCTCTTTCTACCTCACTACACCCCAATTACACAAACACTCACTCTTACCCCCCTACCACCCCTTCTATCTGACTATTTAAAAATAAAACATAAACGTATCCGTATATCCATTTTGTTGACGGTCAGATTTCAAACAAATTAATTGTATTACTAAAGTTGTGTACTCAAGCATATTTTCCCTATTAAAAAACAAAAAATTACTATATATTGTCTCATGTGTATTGGATTTTTCCGATAGGATAATAAGTTTTCCTCCTTTAAACTTGAATATCAATTTGTAATTCGAAATTTTATTTGAACCAGTAAAATTGAAAGTATAGTTGAATGTGTAAATTGTAAAGAAAAACACCAGTTATTTCTGTCTTTTAATATGTCCATTTATTTGCCGACCCATTATTTTCAATTTTCGTTTAAAATTAATGAGTTTTTGATTGTAGGACTTTTGGAAAAGATAACACAAAAAAATTAAGTTGTATCTTTCATTTCTTTGCGATAATTTAAATTATGGTAACTTTGTACATCTCTTTCGTGTATATATTCATTTATTCACCAGTAAACAGTTGATTTCCCAGCATGCGATTGTAATTTGTGTAGCGAACTAGATTTAAGAAAGAAAACAAAAAATAAATGAGAATGAGGACAAAGTCCAAAAAAAGCTTGAAAATTTGACAACATGTCTCGCGTACCCTGCAGCGACACGACAACAATTAGTCGGATCGCAATCAAATGACAATATTCTCTAGTGTTAACACACAGCACACCAACAAACCTGCCGTACAATTATTATCCACGATTTGTGTTACTTTTTCATGGACATCGTAATTGAAAATGAAAACACACGTACATTCACATACATACAAAATCACCGGATAAATAGATTTTTCGTGTAACATACATAGATATACACGAAAAAAAAATCTGCTATGAGTTCATTCCGGTGGATTTTGTAATGTTGTTAATTCATTGGGCAAACACTACGGATCCCAAATAATTTATATTCAGGTGTTTTCTTTGCATGAACCAACAACAACCAGTGAAACAGCACGAATAGATTATCTTCCAAGTGTGTGCACGTGGGAAAATAAAAACGATGTTTTATGTTGTTGGTTTCTTCTCAACGAATCACCCACGTGAAAGAAGCGAGCTTTTTTGCAATTTGCATTATTCATTTCATCGTCATTCGCCTGACCAAAAGAAAGTGAGCAGCGACCCGTCGCCAAAGCTGAAGATGAACAAAAAAAATGAGCATATATTTGACGAACCTTTTGAATTTGTTCGCAGAAAGAGAATAATGAATGTTAAAACATGCGTATGCCTTTGATTGTTTGCTCACTTTATGCTTATGGTATACAATTTAACATTGCAAAAACCGCATCAAAACTCGCAATGAAGAACATCTACGGCGGTTGCACCGACAAAATGATGAGACAACGTTCTCTTCTCGCTCGTCACCCTTGTTCGGCCCGAAAATGGCAAAATATGATAAGACGGTGGTAAAACATTTCCACAACATTTGATCAACGTGATAGCAAGCGACCGAACAACAGTATAAAAAAAGACACCACAGTGAATGAGACGAACGAAGTGAACTTTGAAGGTGTCTCTTTCGAGTTCTATTTACCGCAATTACGTGATACTCTCCTCGGGGCAACGCATACACATACAGATGAGAATAAAAAACGGAATTTTCAAGGAACATTTTCATCGCGTTCTCATCGATAAAATCATCATTATGCTGTTCAACTTGATTCCCAGAGTGTCTCTCACTCTCTTACATCTTGTACACATTGTACCAAGCCTTTTTCGGATGTGTATGTTTTCATTGGTTGTGGTTCTTCCGCTACATCATTCTCGTACAACCATCCATCCAATTCGGGGTTTTCATGTCATCTCGTCTTTCGCTCTTCATTGCAAAACCGAATCTAATACACTTTAAATTTCATTTTTTTTTCTTTCTTTTTGAACTTCCTCTTCGTCTCTTTTGCTTGTCATTTGTGCATGTCAACAGATGAAACTTAGAACGAAGATAAGGTGAAGAAAAAATGAAAAGATAGTAAATAAAGAGAACGTACACATCGAGCGCGAAGTAAAAGACATTTATCATATGGAAATAGCCAAAGAGATATTCAACTTACACGAACGACTTATTCAGCATTTCGTTTTTTCTGCACTGCACACAGAATTCCCTCGAGAAAATGAATCGGTTCTTTCGTGTGTGTGTGTTTTTTTTTCTCGCACCGTCGCTTACATTCATCATTGATTCACATATTCTGTGAACCATAATATGCTTGAACAGACGAACGATACAAAACGTCTGTATAAACTGTGATCGTATCGAAGCAACAGCGTCAATTCCAAGGATGAGAAGATAACGCAATTTTATGATGAATATCGGCTCACCATTCTTTTGGTTGAATTTGTTGTTGTTATACCCGTTCGATGTGGAAAAAAAATCGTTTTTTGTTGTTATTCTGCGTGCCAGTATCTCGAACATTTCTTTGTCGACCCCAATGCATACCACTTATAAAGTAAATGGCGTGTCGAACATTTTATATATATATTTATCTAGTGTCCTAGCATTTGGTCGTGATCCTGATTACTTATTTACAGCTCATAATCGCTGTTTGGTTTGAATATGTCTTGGTGTTGATTTTTTTCTCTTCTTTGCTTTTCACTCTTCGTGCATGCGTTTCGTTTCAATTTTATAAGCATTTCTCCATATACACCGATACCCGAACGTTTAACGAGTGATTATGGCCTGAATAACGACATATTCAGCTTTTGAAAGTATCATTACAAGTAGTACTTGACATCCGCCCTTCGTCCTTTTCGCTATGTCATTCCGAACTCATTCCCATACACACATAGTGTCGCTAAACGACACTTCTCACTCACTCCTCCATTCAATGACAGTTTTTTTGTTCATTGTAGTTCGAAGGTGGTTTCCATCAATTTGTAAGCACGCCAAAGATGTAAAAATTTTGCATTCATAATATGAAGCAAACCCCATTTTTTCATTCTCTCTCTCTCTCCGCTACATTCAATTCCGATTTTTTTTGTCCGTTTGTGATCACATTTATCCGATACACTATTTTTTTCTCTTTTTTTTCTTGCATATTCTCTTACTTTCCATCTCCGTGAAGTAGCACTTAGCCGGGTATCAAGTATAAAGAATAATAGTTAGCTGTATTAGTGTGATACGCGCGCGAAAAACTCACGTTAAGTGGACGTGAGTTGGAAGATAGAGTTTGTTGTATCTAACAATGTATATGTGTAAATAATTTGTAAATATGTATAAAATCAATTCGTAGATTTGATGGCGCCGAGTTGTGCTCGAGAATTTTGAATAAAACAAACACACGACCGAGAAGCGTGTGTCTCAAGCAAATGTCTTTCAACCGAAGGGGATTTCGTTTTGCATCCGCTTGGTTCAAGACATTTTCGATTGCTTTTCTAGTGACGTTATTCTTTTATTTGCTCGAATTGAGCATTTTTGCCATCGGCGTCAGTTCCTGAATCGAAATGTGAATATTATTTAAATGACAGCAATCAATAATAACAAATCGTTTCAAGGTGGATGTGTGTATCTGGGCAAAGAATTCGCTTCTTTTTTTTCTTTAGCAGCACAGTGAATCGTTTTGACGAGTGACGGCAATTCCCCAAACACACGCGCACACCATCGGTTGTGACAAATCGCGTCTCATTTTGAAGAGTGAAAATATTCACATTGCTTGTTCATCTGTGCGAAAAACCCCAACTGGTTCGCAATAATGGCAAATTTGTGGATTTATTGCAATTTTTTGCCCTTTCTTCGCATTTTCTTTCGTTTTTTTATTCGCTCCAAATTCGTCAACGTGTTATTATTTCTGCTCAAAATGCGGTGGCATTTATGACCACGTATTTACTTTAACTAATTTTATCATTTTTCATTCATTTATCTTTTCTATTTGTGGCACTGTTGTCAATGATTTTTTTTATCACTGTTCCACCCGTATGCATGCATTTTACAACAGCTCCTCCCTTTAATCTATCCAAATAAGCGAAAACAAACCAAGTGTCTCATTCCACTTGCATTAATTTTTAGCTTATTATATAGTAGCTCTGTTCTTTTCAAGCAAAAGAAAAAAGTGTTTGGATTTTGTAGCTTTAGCATTAACCGCACTGCATCACATCCCATTTTTCTATTCGAATTTTTTTAATCTAGTTAAATTGTAGCTCATAATGATATGCGAACCACCATGTGGCGGAACATACCGACAAAAAAAGACGTCATTTTCTTTCTTTAACAACTTGAAAAAAATGCGATTTTTTTTAATATACCAACTATCAAAAATGGATGTAATTTTACCAATTTCATCATTTTTGTATATTTGGACTGTTTTTTTTTTTTTCGTTGTTGTAATACTTCTTAGTCCCAAATGACCGAAAAAAATATTGTTCCCATTTCTTTTCCCATTTTTCGTTTTTCGTTTCTGTTTGATTTTGCATTTGAATATTTGCTTCTTTTTCGACAGCATTTCTTATTACTATGAGTTTTCAAAAGAACAAGACTATATATGTTCGAAGCCAGCAGACTCGGGAATGCATATGTGTAATGAATTACCCCCATATCGGATAGGACCGATGGTATGCAATGGTAAGTGAATTAACAACAGTTTGTCGTAATGCTCAATAATTGTTTGTTGAAACATCAAATTGCAAATCATCAGAGACATATTACGAGAAAATGTTCCGGAACAATTTCAATTGAGTTGGCAACAGCCGTTCGCACTGTGATTCTTGACGCACATGAACTGAATTGAAATCAAATTTCCTTCAATTCACTTTGCTTCAAGGTTTTATACGTTCACATCAATTTACATTTCTTTTCTATCGTTTCTTTTTTCTCTTTCCCTTTCGTCAATGGTCGTCCATCAAATGGTTTGTACTTCGAAACGTGTGCACTTGCTGGCATCCTTACCGGTTTGAAACTGCATGGGAAAAAAAACAATAACAAAATCGAAACTATCGTAAAAATCCAATTGAAAACAATTCGATAACATCAAACTTATTTGCTCACAAACAACACAGCATCAGCCGAACCATACTCGTACAATTTTCCAACGAATATGTCGTGCGTCAATTGGAATCAATACTATACGAATTGTACGCAGTTGGGCGGTAATCCATTTCAGGGCACCATCAGTTTTGACAACATCGGTATGGCATGGGTTGCAATATTTTTAGTTATCTCATTGGAAGGATGGACTGATATCATGTAAATATATGCCACCACCGAGATGAATTTCACTTTTAATCGAAATGAATTTCACTTTGCGAATGAAATTAGGTATTATGTACAAGATGCTCACTCGTTTTGGGACTGGATCTATTTCGTTTTATTAATAGTGGTAAATAGCTCACTTCCATTCTATTATTGATGTGTGTTTGTGTGAGTGTGAATGGACAAAAGATATGAGTTGAGAATCGAAGCAAATGTTATATGATGTGAACTACTGTTGTTCACGATGTCTCGTTTTTTCGGTTCGCTTCCATTTCTCTTGTCCTTTATGATGAAACGAACTCAATGCCGATAGATAAAAGCATTTGAAATGGATGGTGCGTGTAGTATGTCTGTCTATCTGTCTGATTGTGCAAATGTTTTGGATCTATATATATATTTTATTGCATGTATAATAATCGTTATCATAATCGTTAAACGTTTTGCAAATAATGTGAGAAAATATAGTGCTTTTTGTACTTTTACTTTCGATACGATTCATTCCAATGTCATCTATCTTTCGTTTTTTTGCTCTTTTTCTTCTTTCGTTTACAGATTGGATCATTTTTTATGATAAATCTATGCCTCGTTGTCATTGCCACACAATTTTCTGAAACGAAAAAACGTGAAATGGAACGAATGCGACAGGAGCGAGCTCGTTACACATCCACATCAACAATAGCATCGAGCACAAATAATTCCGAGCCGTCAACATGCTATGCGGAAATCGTAAAATACATTGCGCACTTATCGCGCCGGATAAAACGACGACTAATTAAGAAGTTACGCACCTATAAGTATGAATAATTAAATTAAAACCGACATTAGATTCTATCGTTGCATGTGTAAAATATATTTTGTGTTTGCATTTTATTGGCCCTCCGTGTGAATCTCGGATGTGAATTTGGTGTGCTTGTGTATTTGGCAGCCAGAAGAACTTATGACACATAAATAAATTGCACACAGCAAACAGCAGCCAAAGTGAATATCAAATCGTTGTCTTTTTACACAAGTCTGTTCGATAAATTGAACGATAATAGTAATAATATTAGCTTTTGCCAGTGCGCCATCATACACACCCACACATCTCTCATCTCAATAATTTCAGCTCAGCATATGCGGAAAAAAGCTTATTAGTTCCATACACTTCAACTTTCGTTTATATCCGAATATTTTACCTTTAAGTTTATTGCAAAGTAATATTTACACACTTCGCCGTCATTCTCATTTGGCAATTTGATTGCAATCATTCTAATCGAGCTGTCAACATTGAGCTTCCGCTCGAACATCTTGAACTTCCATCCAATTTGTATAATAGATCGTGCAGTTAGTGTGTTAATTGGATCCCATTTAGCGTATATAAATACGTTTAGTGTAATGTTGAATCACGACGATTACGATATGCTTTCTTCTTCTCTTTTTCATTTTTTCTTCTTTGGTTTTACCTTCGTTTATGCTTCATTTAACACACGCTCATACAGGTATAAACATCAAGACGAAGATTTGCTGCCAAATGCTGACACATTTACACTATCACCACATCGAATAAAATGCCATCATCCAAATTGTCCGAAAGTAAATCAAAATAAAACGCCCACCATGGACGGCGGTGCAAGGCGTCTTAAATCACAAATGGCCGACACAAATAGCATATCTGGAACAATAATACAAAATAATTGTAATAGTAGCCAATTATCGTCGCCGGATATGTCAGAAGCGAACGAAATGCACAGATTCTCATCCAGTTCGATGAATCTAGCAGCAGCAGCGCCAACTACCACCGCCGGAAATGATGATAAAGATGATAAGAACAAGTTGAGCTTGTTAAAAATTCCGGGCGTCATAAAAACGGAACAACAAGCGGTAGGATTTTATTTTTTATTTTTTCATTCATTTTCACTCTCCGAATGCATTCCCCGTTCATGAAAAAATCGAGTTTCATTTAAAAAAAAGTTGTCGGATATTACAATGTAATTCATAAATTTTATTTGCAATTTTAAAATATGAGCAGCAGAGCACAAATGGATCTGGCGAGTATTTAAGTCCACCATCATCAGCGCGCCGTCGATCATCGGTAATGTTTAATGATCTGCTTTTTTTACATACGCCACCGAATGAAGCACAAACGAACGTTAAAAATATTTCCCAGGTCGAGAAAACAACACAAACCGGAGATGGAAATATTTGGAAGGTACAAAAAAACCACTCACACGCACAAAATCCATACTTTTTCGCTCTGTCTCTTTCACACACTCTCTCTTTTTTTCTATTTATCGTAATTTACACATACCGTCACTGCGTATTTTGGAGTAATGCGTATGGACGAGTGAGCGTAATACCATACGCTCAATTATTTCAATGAATTTTTAATTTAATCAGCTTAAAAAGTTCCCTTTTTTGTCGGAAAACTTTCATTTTTATTGATAATTTCGATGTAATTTGTTTCGTTCGAACACGTTTTTTTTTCGGTTTTATTATTATGTTGTGTGCATGTTTTTTGTATATTTAATATTCGATGGCTTGTTTATTTGGTTTGTTTTTCTTTATTGTTATTTATTTCGGTTTGTATACTTCGATATTTATTTATTTTTTTGTTTTTCACGTTCATCAATGGTTTTTTGTATGCCGGGTGCTGTTGCAGGTGAACTTGGGTCATAATTTGTATTCACACGCAATGAACAACATTCTAACGGATTGTTCGGATCTGAATTTCAACGATACAATGACATGTCAGGAATTGTTAGCGTTTTCGGTGGCATTTTCGGCCGCTTTGCCAACCAACCAAAACACTTTGGACTCCTTATATTCGTCGTTAGCACATCACGAAAACAATAGCCGAAATAGTGAACGAATGCCAAAAAATGTCAGTAATTCAGATGTAATAAATCGACAAACATCAACTGTGGTCACGACAGCAGCGGCAACAACAGCAACGACAGCGACGGCGACGGTGGTGGGAACGACAACAACAACCGCACCGCCAAATGGTTTGGAAAACTTTTCCTGTTGCTATCATTTATATCAAAATTCGGCACATGTCGAGTCACTCATGTCGTCGCATCGAAAGCCCAACAAATATATGGCACCAATTGTGGCCGGCTGGCGAATGTTTAGCAAAATAATGAGCTACATGCGACGATGCATCAAAATGCTAGTCGAACATAAATATTTTCAACAGGGTATTCTGCTAGCCATTTTAATAAATACACTGTCGATGGGCATCGAATATCACGATCAACCCGACGAATTGACAACAATCGTGGAAACGAGCAATATCGTCTTTTCGGGCATATTTGCAGTGGAAATGTTGCTCAAAGTAATTGCCGAGGGTCCGTTTCGTTACATAGCCAATGGATTCAATGTATTTGATGGTGTTATTGTTATATTAAGGTAACATTTCCCTCTTATTATTATTACATATTTTATTTTTTTATTTTAGCCCATGGGCTAACGCTTTCGTTTCATCCATATTTTAGCTCGTACGAATCAGGCGAGAGTGGATTTTGAGCGTTTATTTTCACTTTTCATTGTTAATATATAATGCCGGTTTTATAGCGAATTCTTTTTTTCAGTTTTGTTTGTTATTTTCTTTCGGTTTTTATTGTGGTACTGTGACAATTTGCAATATGTGTGCGATGAAAAGCATGAAAATAAGCAGCTCATTAATATTTTATTCAAACCACTCGACTTCATCCATTGTTGTCTGTCAATCCATCAAAATGTATAACTTTTACAACTTCCTTGAACAATTCATCGTTTCCATTTATACACATGTATAAATTTCGCTCATCTTTTTGCTATCTTTTATATCTTTCATGTGAATATGCTGGAAAACTTGTCGTCGCTTCTTCATCCAAATGCTTTTCAAATGCGATATCACACACACACACACACACACTTGGATGGATGGCACCGGGAATGAAATGGAACAAAACGGAATAAATGGGATATCGTACAAATCGGTTGCGTTCGCTTGTGCTCTCCCTTTGTGGTGGATTCGGCTTTTGCTCAATGTGCAACATTCACAAAACTCAACAGTGTATTCGAATTAGGTCAACAATTCTTCGGCATTAGCGAAGGCAGTTCGGGATTAAGTGTTTTACGTACGTTTCGACTGTTAAGAATCCTCAAGTTGGTGCGATTTATGCCAAATTTACGACGACAACTATTCGTCATGTTACGCACAATGGATAATGTTGCAATATTTTTCTCGTTACTCATGTTGTTCATATTTATATTTAGGTAAGTGGTTTATTATTTGAAAAATTGATGTTCGCCAAAGAGCGTATTTGTATATACGGATGTACGCATTTGTCTCCATGTGAGATGCCTTTTGTGTCTTACATTTCAAGCGAAAACTGAATAAAAGTAAAAGAAAAAAAAGTAACAGAAAACTTAAACTGAAGGAACCCGCAGCTAGAAGAGAAAGATTTGTCGGTTTTTTTAACGAACTCTATTGAGAATGGCAGGATAGTGAAATCAGATTTAGTTATGTAGAGAGAAACTAATACAGCTTATGATGACTGTGAGTATGACTCACTTTCCGTCTCGAAATTACAGGGAAAGCGAATACACAAAGCAACGCGACAAAGTTGTAAAACGATGTGTGATCTGTGATGCAGAGCATATTGTTATTATAGGAGAAATTGTACCTTTTGTTCGAATTCACATATCCTCATCCTCATCCTACGGTGTAGATTTTCCCAAAATGATTCGCATCCGTATTCGATGTATACATGTTTCAGTCACACTCCTTCTAGCTCAATCTCTTAACATTCCGATGAATGAATATTTCCATCGCAGATAAGGCAAACAAAAACGAAACTAGCTGTCGCTTCAATAAATTTCTCATTATAGTCACGTACCTTGTGTCCTGTAGTTTAAACTTAAACCTATACCCTCTACTTATGCTCTCTCGCTCGCTCGCTCCATCACATCCAATTCTCAGCGTTTTATAGTTATAGTATATATTTTGGCCTTCGCCCATTAAACAGAGTACAAAAAAAAACCAGCAACTATTACATTTTCAATTGATTCCTTTTCATTTTAATCTTTTTGCGCTCATCTAGTTACAATTCCATTGCTCTCTATTTTATTTCTTTGCCATTTTGATTTCATTCTCCTTGAACTGTTACATTCCACTTTTGCTCTGCGAACTCTCTGGTCGCCTCTTTTTCTAACTCTGCGCATTGAAGGTTCAACTAGAGAAATATAGGTAGAAATAATAATGTGTTTTTTTTGTCATTTAGAGATAGCCAACTGATGCCATTCTATGTGTATTGCATTGTCAAAATTAATTCAATGTTTTTAAATTAATTTGCCGTCGTCGACATTGGACTGAAACACTGTGTCAACTCTGTCCTTAAAATACAGTTAGCATAATGCTCTTTCTATCTTGTTCATTATCTGTTTCTGTTATTTTTTAGATTCAGTGTTCTTGTTTCATCTCCTTTTTTTGCTATTGTTTATTGTAATAACAAGGATAAAAATGAATAACATTTCAATTTGACGTAATTGAAATAAATAAGGATCGTCTCGTGACGAGTGAGATAGATCCACTTAGTTATTATATTCATTTCCATAATGTAATAATGAAAATTGAATTGACAAATTTCCAATCTTGAAAGTGTTTTCGGTGTCAATGTCTCTGTGTAGTTCTTCCAGAGAAGAAAAAAAAAATACAAAAATTAGAAAAATTTCCATGAATGATCGTTTTATCGTAGATAGTCTTTTCTTGATTTTTTCCTCCCTTCATTTCGTTTCTTTTTCGTTGTGATTGTCGTAAAATGAAAATAAACTCGTTCATCATGCTATCTCCTACAATGAAATCTAAAAGATGAAAGATGAAAAATAACAAGAGAGTAAATCGTACTGACGAAAATTGAATATTTCTCTACGTTCCATCATTGAATAGACGATGAAGATGAAAAGAAAAGGAAAAAAAACAGAGAAGTAAAGAGGATGCACTTCAAAACACAATGGCATTGTTGTCGTTCAATCTCATTCACGGCATAACTTTTATTCGGCAACAAGAAGAAAACGCAAAGAAAACACATAAAATAAGACGAAAGACGAAGTGTATACGTTTGCTGGAACATAAATTGCAAGGAAGTAGAGATTTCTTTTTCGGCAATTTCAGTCAAGTCAAGAGCTTTCACTTTGGTAAAATAAATTAAAGTAAAACGGCTATTTTTAAGACTATACATATGAAATCGAGAGCACTGGCACGCCGTCGATGCCATTTTCTCAGCTTCCTTTTTGCTCGCATTGAACCCCAAAAGAAATACATTCGAAATTTAATTGCATGATACAGTTTTCACCCTCCATTACCCCCCGTCTCTTCCACCACGGCCAAGCAAAAACGAAAAAAAACTTTTAACAGGTAGACAGTCACAACTTCGTCTGCTGTGCATGATTTTTTACACACAAAAACACAAAAAAAAAACAACCTCCCATCACTTTCTTTATCCATTGTGTCAAACTCCCGTTGCAAAGTTTTATTCAATTTGAACATTCGCACCGTGCGCACACATCCACACACACACATTGCACCCTGCACAACAGCGAATACATTTTACTTAACTTGTAATTGTTACAATTTTTGTGAGCAAAGTAATAAACGTCCACAAGTTTTCACAACTTAATCACATAAAAATTCCCGCAATGAATGTAGTAGTTACAGTGTGTGTGTGTGACCTCCCGAGTCACACTTGTGCCACACATTCCCTTCTGTGCAATCATATTAACAACGTAATATCAATATAAAAATTGAGGAGATTGTATCTTTTTGCCGTTCATCGTATCCAGCAATTTTAAAACTTAATTAATTTGCTCCATTCGGCGTGAATATCGAACATGCGCAAGTTTTGAACAACCACAGAAAAAAAAATAGTTTGATAAAAGATATAGATATTTGATTTTACAGAAAAAACATCCGTATTTTCCCCATATCCTTTATATTTTTTATGATAATTCATCTCTGTTGCTTGCTAATTCTCTTTTATCTTACCACAAAATCATTTGAAAATTGTTTTTCCTGTGTGCGTTAGCGCGCGCGCGCCCTCGTCACAAAAACTTTCACAACTGTACACATTAAAGTGAATGTGCCATGGGCGCACAAATAACACCAAAATAACAAACAACATTTTAAAACAAACGAAATAAAATACAAACTAACGTATGCACTAGTGAAAGAGTCATATATAATAAAAGAGTCATTTTCATAATATTTGTATCGTAAATTTAAAAGTCTAAATACGAAAAAAAAAAATAATTTTTGTAAATTTTCTGAAATGCTTGTTTTTTTGGCAAAAACAATTTTTTAAAATGGAATTCAAATATGCGAAGTATCCTTGGCATGCATATTTTTGGCTGTAAGTTTTGTGACAAAGGCGCTGATGGTGATGAACAATGCGATCGAAAGAATTTCGACTCTTTACTTTGGAGTCTTACCACGTGCTTTCAGGTCTGTTTGAGGTTAAAAATACATAAAAAATTTATCAAAATCATTTTCATACCACACACACACACACATCATCCATACAATCAACAAACAAACACATACAAACACGGTATATATCAAACAGAAAAGTTAGTTAATTAAAACTCGGCAAATATTGGCGAAAATATTTCTTAGACATAAAGCATGTAGTAGCTCCATCAGACTCCATAAAGATAATCGATCTAGAACTCATTCGTTTTTAGTTTCATATCATTTTCAGAATAATTCCCAATTCGTCATTTTTCTCTGTTTTTCTCTCGTAGAGAATCTCGACCAAATAGAATAAATAATCAAACGCTAATCGATCTAATCATTCATATTTCCATTGATCCAATCGAACCATAGCCAATCGTAACGAGACACATAATTTTTAAAAAACCGCATCAAATTCATTCATACACACATATTGTGTTAATAAAATTAATTCTAAATTGCTAGCAAAACAAACTTTACCCATTAACTAACTTCATTTCAACAAAATATTTTACATAAAATTCATAATCTCCACAACCATAAACTAATTGAATCAATGACTACTCCATGAATAATGGAACCATAAATGTTACACTCAAGTGAAATTGAGTCGATGTTTTTCTTTCTTTCATTCTCTCTCCCTCTCTCTAGACTTTTTAATGTGTTTAGTGTGTCAGTTTTTGTTTCGTATCTAACAAACGATAACTAGAGAGCTGTATCGTTCTAATTAACGCCAACATAGTATACAAAATTGTTGGTATTCATTTTAGAGGTTTAGTGCCAAATGGTTCTTTTTTCATTCTGTAATGAACAATGTGAGTGGGGGTAATAAAAAACAATCTCTAGCTTAGATATGACTAAAATGCTTTCAATGCGATAAAAATGGTTATGCGGTGTGTGGGATCTATCTCCCCTTCCCACACCGCACCCCTACACACATGAGGACGATATTACATCGGATTTTATATTGTCGAATTTTTATTTGTGCCAACAAAAACGCATTCATTCATAAACAAACAACAGAGCTAATTGAAGGCATTTCAGCATGTTTTCGATCAATGGTTCGTTTTAGCTTCGCAAGTACCCTAGTATATGAAGGTAGGTTTGGCTGCAACACCAAAAAAAAAAAACACTATACGCGATTTTTGCATGTGTTTGTCATTTTTTAAATCTAAAAAAAACAACAAATTATACATATCTCGTGCTTAATACTAATTTATGGTGCAATTTATTTAAATCAAATCTCTAGATATTTTATACACTTTTTATTCATATATGCACACACACAATTTAAAACATAATACACACATACACACCGTATAGAAAATCGCATGAAAACCACATTTTAAATTGAATCAATCTGGTACAGAGATTTATGTTTGTTCGATTCCATACGCAATGGCGAAAGCTTAAAATTACCATCTCCCAAGCCGAGCCAGGGCGCCCGCTCTGACTCGGTCTGCGGGAGTGTGAGAAAGATGGAACGAATGAATAAACTCGTTTAACAATTGACAACGCTCAACAATGGATGTGCCAATTAAGGAATGTCTGAATTTGTGAGTAATGCTTGATCGATGTACCAGATCCCATTTGAAATCAGATTCAATTTGTTCGGAATGACCTATTTCCTCATTTTGCACAAATCTCATTTTATTGAGCCGAAAACTTAGTTTGCATACAGAGAAATTTTAACCACATAAAATGAATTGTCGATGAAGACTTAGTAATGCTTGAGTTAGAATTAGATTTTCAATAGTCGAGCAACCTTCAAGCAATCGCAAAATATCCTTTTACTTTCCAATTTATATTCGATATTCCATATGGTCCTATGTTTACTCTATCTCTCTCCTCCCATCCAATCTGCAAAATCAATCTCTTATTCACTCTAAGAAAACTGCATTCAATTTCGGTTTCTTTTAAACGTTTCATTGAAAACATAGTGCCTGTGGTTCAGTGCACTGGAATGCATCAAAGAATTTTAAATTAGCAATGAATCAACCACGTGCATTTTTTGGCATGGGCACTATACTTCATCCGGACGCTTTTTTTTCTCTCCTTATTCGCTCTCTCAGAGTTTCTTTTTCATGTCGCTTGTTTGTTCCAATGTAAACTACCCATACAGAGTTTTTTTTAATTCAGAATAAGCGCTTATATTATTCTCTCAATGCAGCATCAACCCATCCATCGTTTTACACATTTTCCATATAAAAATTGTTTGCATATTTTCCCAATTAACCTAATTAGGGCATTCCATTTCAAGGACAAAAGGATTCAAAATAACAGCGTCTATTTGTTTTTGTTTTGATTATATTGTTGTTGTTTGTGTATCACCACATTTCCCCTTGGAAAGGAACGAAAAAAAATATTTCAGATTAATTAGCAACAATTACCATTTATGCGCAAACCATAGTGATACCATATACAAACGAATCAAATTACTATATTATAGACCAACAAAATAGCGAAAACCATTCGTGTTTATTTATATTTTTTGATAATAATTTCAAAATAGCATTCTTATTAATATTTTAATGTAATAACCACATTTTAATTATGACAAAATTTAAACGTTTCAAAATATCTTAACATAGAGATAGGTTGTAGTATTTTATACAAAAACAAAAATCATCGACAGGTGGTGGCCAACATTTTTTTATTTCAATATGATGTGCTGAATACGAATCAACCAACAGAAACGTAAACATGGATGCATTTTGAGATATGCCACTCACTCATTTTGATGTATTGAATTGTCGAAAATATTGACATCAACCTTACGAAAAAAAAGTCGACTATCAACAACATTTCTGACATTCCTTGAAACATGATGTGAGCGAAATTATGATTATTGTCGAACTTTTTACAGAATTTTTGTTTTACGCTGCAACATTTCAATCACACATGACACCTTTGTTGTATAGGACCTTGTATGCTTCCATTGGCACCGATTTTGCAACATTTCGTGCGATTTCAGATTTTAATGTGCGTCTTCACATTTCTTACGCGAACTTTATTGCAAAAAAAGTCAATTTGTCTGACAAATCTCTGCTTTCACATAACTCGCGCATGATAAATTGCGAAAAAAAGATTGAAAGTAATTATTTGGTGGCCGGGTGAGAAAAATATTTCTTTTAAACCGAAAAAAAGATCGACGACTCCAACAAAAACTACCACGTCGGTCTACTCTTCATTATTCGTTTTATATGGAGTAAATCAATTAGAAGTCTTTTTGCCCAAAGTATTGGATAACCGGTCAACCTCGAGATCAAGAAAGCAATTTATCGTGTAATCTTCATTGACGCAGTGACATACCTGAAACTCATCGAGAACAAATTCTTTGGTTGATTCGTGTCCTGTCGGTATTTTTTTCCATGAAAATGTTTATATTTCGCTACACCCAAGTGAATAGTCCATATATATATCTACATTATACATTCATATAAACTATATATATATTTATACATATAACAATGAATGAAAAAAAAAAACTGTTGTAAACAGCATATTATACAAATTTATAGTGTGCTTGGCATGTATCTTTTTGGATCAAAATTTTGTAAATTTACGGATGAAATCACTGGACAAGAAAGACCATGCACTTGTCCCGAAATAATAAACAAACATCCACATTGTGAATGCGATCGAAAGCATTTTAACAACATTCTTTGGAGTTTAGTCACTGTGTTTCAGGCAAGTATAACATTTAAACCATCCATCTCTGTCTCTTTCTCTCTTACTCTCTCTCTCACACACTGTATCTATCTCTTTCTATATATGTATAAGTATCTCTTTCTCTCGCATAATTGCTTATGGTTTCATCAACCGGCTAAGCCTATGAAGAGACAAAATGCGAATTCCCCTCATCTGTGCCATCTTGTATTCCATAGTTGAACTCAATTTAGTTACAATGAATTGAATCGAAAAAGAGAAAAAAAACAACAACAGTAACATGGCTACATAGATCTGTTGACCAGTGAGATACGTATAGCAATGGAATGAAAGAATGAAGAAAGCGTATATGTGTATGTATGCATCAGCACGCATAGATGTACAGCTCTGTGTGGCCGTGCTATTGTTGTTGTTTTTTCACTTTTTCATTTCAATGCTACAGAATTAAATTCAGTTTTTGCATCTAATTCACACTAAAATCAGATGGCGCTCATTAGCGAGATTCGCAAAAAAAAGTCTCCAATCTCATACAAATATACACCGGCTGGGTTTCATATTATGTTTTTTTTTTTTCGAAACAAACTCAATCAAAAATATATGATAAACGCAAAAAAAAGATGATGATAAAAAAATGTTGAGTGATAAAATATTCAAGCAGCATTGCATGTTGAAGTGCGGTGTGTTTAATGAAAATTCGATATTTTTAATCACTTATCACGACCTTCTTTCCACACTCTTCTCCCTGACGCTCTCCAGTGAGTGTGCTCTTGACGGTCTAATTTTTTTAATTTTTGTTTTCTGATTCTCGTACTTGTTCTGCTTTTTCACATTGGCCACCGTCACGATTCACTCTTTTTCCAGCTTTTAATTTTTGTTTTTGTCGTTGTTGTCATTTTAATGAATTGCATTGAATTAATCGTGGCGTGTGCACAAAGATAGTGCAAATCATGCAATGGCTTCGATTACATGAATAATTATTTCAATGCATTGAATTGATGTTGTCTCTCGTCCGTAACGACATTGTTGTGAATATATGTGTAATCGATTTAGTTCGTTGTTTTTTTCATTTTTTACGTTTGGCTCAAAAAGAAAATTGCATCTTTTTACACTCTTTCACACACATTCACACTCACACTGACACATGTCTTTCTCTCTCACACAATAAATTCCCATATTTCGCCAATTTGTAAAAACATAAGCAATGAACATGATTTGTAAGTCGATCGAGTAAAAAGAAGTCCCAACAAGTTTTTAAGTGCGAATCGTTCGCTCATTAATTTCCTGTGCGACAGGTTTTATGCTTTTGATACCACCACCTTTCAGTCTCGGGTTTATACAATTTCGAAAGTTCTTTTTTCCACTTTTCTTCTGTTCGTTGTGTTGTTGTTGATGATGTTGATTCTTCCGTTTCTCATGCATTTTTCCCTTCACTCTCTGCCCCTGTCTGTCTCTTTGTCTCCTTTTCTCGTCATAAATTCGTTGATCGCAACAAAGTAGTTTACTGCTTGTTGTGTCGCAACATTTTCTCTCTCTCGCTCGCTCGCTCGCTCGCTGTCGACGTTTGGAAAACTGTCTCGAGCAGTTGATGAAAGTCAAGAGAAAGAAAGAGCGAGAGAGAGAGAGAATGGAATGATGATAAAAATCGTATAATACGCGTGCAACTAACATAAACTGTACATAAAAATGTAAATATTTTTCTTTGAAGTTTCGCTTTTTTCACTCTTACTCCAACCGGTTTGATTTAAATTGAATCAATATTTATGCATGTTTCTGCAAAATCGGTGTCTCGTCCTGATGGTGATGATGACGAGTTGAAAGCTTTTTTATTACACAGAAAATGTTTACTTCATCCAGTGTTTATAGTTGTTGTTGATGTTGTTGTCTATTTTTTTTTTCACTTTGAAACGGAGAACTACTGGCTGGTTAGAATTTCATTTTTCTCGAGCATGTACATCATGGCACAGACAATGGGGGGAGAAAATTGCACACAGCAAACATTGTAAATATGATGAGAGTTTATTCTCTATTTTTTTCTCTCCCAATTTTGTGTGATGCTGACGAGAGCGAGAAAAACGAAAATACCGACCCGAGAAAATTTCATTTAGTCACTGAATAATGATATAATTCACACACAAAAAAAAAATATATTTGTAAATACACTTTAAAATAAACATGCGTCGCTTGTTCACTTACTCACCCCATTTAATAAAAATAATAATAAAGTTTTCTCTATTCATTTAATACCGGTTAAATTCGTTAACTGAACACATTTACGGAATTAAATTCATCCGGATTCCGGATAAAAAGAGAAAATGAATGAACAACAAAACTGTAATGCAAAAGCGATACAAGCTACTTTGATGTTGTTTTTATTATATTTTACTAATTTGTACAAACAATACCAAAAATACATTCTTTGCTGAAATTGACACACACACACCCATACTCACACAGTATACTCTGAATTTTTGTAAACGTTTCCACATGCCCTCTAGAAAAATTAGCTTTAGAAACAATATATAAACATAGAGATTACATTTCCGCCCTCCAACGCCAAAGCCCCTCTCAAACGCACTCAATCAACCTGAATTCGTGTTCACTTTTCCATTCAATAAAATGAACACGGATTTCTAGCTAACAAAGTCATTTAGCTTGAAACGATAAATCAACCACACATATCACCATCTCACAACAAATTCAACCAAAAAAAAAAAATTCACATTCCACTATATTCACATTTTTTTTGAAAAATTTCATTTTTAACTCAAAAATTAATTAATTTTTTCAACAAAAAATCTCTTTCTTTGTTTTTTGTTTTTGCAAAAATTGATCTTTTCCTTTGTTTTTCGTTGAAATCGAATTTTTCTGCGTGAAAAAAAAAACTGTTTCTAATTAAATACTTTGATCTCATGAATGCTTGACGGCGACGGTGGTGATGTGACAATGTTTCTGTGCGTGCACAACAGATTTTAACTCAAGAAGATTGGAATGTTGTGCTATTCAACGGCATGGAAAAGACTAGCCATTGGGCAGCATTGTATTTCGTTGCATTGATGACATTCGGCAATTACGTGCTGTTCAATTTACTGGTTGCCATTTTAGTCGAGGGCTTTAGCTCCGAGGTGAGCATTTTATACATTTATATATACATACAAATCGATTATATTGAAATGTGCCATTTGCACAAATGATAAGCGAAATGTCTGTTGGACAAACTGTACAAAACGACGAATGGAATTTAATTTACTGAATTTCGACAGCGAAATGAACGACGAGAACGTGAGCAGCGTGAGCTAGTGAAAAAATTGCGAGAAGAGCATGAGAATTTAAGTGATTTAATGTTCGAGGACTATCGTAGCTGTTCCGATTCCATCAGTTCGAGCGATAATTTTCAAGAGATGCGCAACAAATGGCACAGTGCTGAGGATGTCCGAAAAAGTCGAAAAGTGAGCAAGTTATTTAATTGGATTGTGTGATTTTTTTGTTTGGTTTTCGTTTTGCTTTCGAACGGTATTATCGTTTACTTTTTCTGCCATATTGATTTGGAATAGAATTAAGTTAAATGTCTAATCAAAAATCGATTTTGCCATAGATTCGTGCACAATTGCAAAAGGAGCATGAAGAGAAGAGCATCGCCAATAATTCGCATCGTCAAACACAAGCCATGGTTTATGTGTATGTAAACAACGACACACACTCCGATAATGAACTGTCGAAATCAAAACAGAGCATCGATGCTGACATCGATAAAATTGTTCTGGAAAACAAACATTTCAGAATGGTATGCATTGATCAATATACGTTCAGATAACAAAACATATTTCAACACACAAACTGAATTTAATCAGTTACGTTATTATTTAATCAAACACATATAATTGACTTAGCAAATGTGTATGCATCAAACTGAGAAAAAAATAAATATATATAGAATCGATTTAATCATTTATATTTTTATTTTGTGGTGTAATTAAAACAATAGTCACCGAAAGATAATGCGGCTGGATCGAGTCGGGGTCGAAAAATGGGCAAAAGGAATCCACCGATAATAACAACAACGGCTGCAACGCCACAAGATTCGCCGATCGCCACATTGGCGCACGGTATGAGCTTTAGCGAATGGGAGAATAATTGTCTGAAGCCACCGTCGATTGTGGGCAGTGTGAAAGGTTTGAATAATTTACTAACGCCCGAACCATATCCAAGCAAACGTAAAATTGAAAGTCCATCGAATCGGAATGCAAACACCTGCATCGATTTAGAGCCCAAAGCGTCAATATCAAATATTCGATTGGATCGAAAGGATTCGACCGAAGCAGGTAGCAATCAAACAGGCACCAAATCAAAATCGACGAAAAAGTCCTCCATTAAAAAGCGTTCGAGCACCAAACGAAAAGAGTCCAAACCATTACCGATCAACTATGAAACGGACATGCTGGATAGTGAACGTCTTGATTCGCTCAGCAACATGGATGTGATGCATAAATCAGGAAAACGGCTACAAAATAATAGCAAAAATACGAATAAAATTAGCCCACGCGGCCGACAATATGATCCAAATGAATTTTGCGCCAATCCACAACAGCAGCAACAGCAACAGCAACAGCAACCTCCAACGCCTATGTACAGTCATCGTGGATCGAAAGTCTATCGTCGCCGAATGTCAACAATGGATCCGCAAGCTTTCAAGAATTTAGCCAATTTAGACCTTAAACAATTGGAAATGTTACGAGAACGAGCATTGCGACGCGAAGAAGAAATGAAAGCGACTACCACCACTGAGGCCAAAGAGGAAGCGCCTGTATGCAAAGGATTCTTTCATGAACCATTTAAATTTACAACGGCCGCCCTACGAAAGCACTTCGAAGTGCTCACCGAACATCGACAAACCTATTCGCTACTCATTTTTCCGGAAGACAATAAATTTCGACATGCGTGCGATTGGTTTGTGACACAGAAATGGTTTGATAACGTTATTTTACTTTTCATTGCGCTAAATTGTATAACATTAGCGATGGAAAGACCAAATATCCCACCAAATTGTACAGAACGATATTTTTTATCAACGGCCAACTATGTTTTTACATTTGTATTCACGCTGGAAATGTTTGTAAAGGTAAAGACCATTTCTCTCTGCCAGACATTATATTGAGATATTTTCAGCCAGCTGAAGTAGCTCAGATAACTAACGTCAGGCGCTGAAATAGACTGAAAACCATATGATTCGGCTGGCTGAAAATATTTCAATATAATGTCTAATCTCTATAAATTACCCGATTTAGCTGTTCCAATTTCCCATCAAATTGCCATTTAAATTTCTCATTTGCATTTTGTGTTAATAGAATTATATCGCAATTCAGTGAAAAGTCGATCAAACATTTTTTGTTCGGTCAATTTCAGGTTGTTGCAGCCGGCATGTTCAAAGGTCCTAATGCATATTTCAATTCCGGATGGAATATAATGGATGGTTCGTTAGTCACAATTTCAATAATCGATTTGTTAATGTCATTACTCAGCCAATCGAGTCCGCGAATATTTGGAATTTTACGTGTATTTCGTTTATTGCGTTCGCTTCGACCGTTGCGTGTTATCAACCGAGCTCCTGGGTTGAAGCTGGTCGTTCAAACACTTTTATCATCGTTACGTCCCATCGGTAATATCGTGCTCATTTGCTGCACATTTTTCATTATATTTGGAATTTTGGGTGTGCAATTGTTCAAAGGAACATTTTACTATTGCGAGGGCATTAGTGTAAAGCATGTGAAAAACAAAACTGATTGTCTCTCAATACCCGGCAATGTGTGGATCAATCGTAAATATAATTTTGATGATTTGGGCAAAGCGCTAATGTCTTTATTTGTGCTATCGTCACGCGATGGCTGGGTCAACATAATGTATACGGGTTTAGATGCTGTTGGTGTTGATCAACAGCCGATTGTTAATTTTAATGAATGGCGTCTTCTTTATTTCATCGCATTTATATTGTTGGTTGGGTAAGTACAACATTTTTGTTTGAAATATGAAAAAAATTATATAAATTGTTAAATTATTTATGTAAAATTTTAATATGTCGCTCTGTTATTTTTATAATTACAAAATTCATTTAAAAAAATGAAAAGAGAAATAATCGTGATATAAATAATATTTCTTTCTATTTTTTTCGCAAAAAAAACCGTACCACCTCAAAACCCCTGAAACCATACAAAAACGAAAAAAACTATTTTTTCGACAGCTTTTTTGTGCTAAACATGTTTGTTGGTGTTGTCGTTGAAAATTTCCATCGATGCCGCGAAGAGCAAGAGAAAGAAGAGAAGATTCGACGTGCTGCCAAACGTGCCGTTCAAATGGAAAAGAAACGAAAACGTATGTATAAACTTAGGCTTTTAGCTCAAAGTTAACATAAACAAAACACTTATATTAATTGAAATATGCTTTTACGCTTTTGCACCCATCCACAACACATCACTCACTCACCCCCTCCCACTCCGTTCACCATACAGGAATGCATGAGCCGCCTTACTATACAAACTATTCACCGTTGCGTTTATTCGTTCACAATGTTGTTACATCAAAATATTTTGATTTGGCAATTGCTGCTGTGATCGGTTTAAATGTGGTTACCATGGCTTTGGAATATTACATGATGCCTATCGCACTCGAATACGCATTGAAAATTTTCAACTACTTCTTCACGGCCGTGTTCATTCTTGAGGCAATTATGAAATTAGTTGCGCTTGGCTTTAAATTGTACATGAAAGATAAATGGAATCAATTAGATGTTGGCATTGTGATTTTATCTGTGGTCGGAATTGTGCTCGAGGAATTGGAAACAAAAATTATACCAATCAATCCGACAATAATTCGAGTGATGCGCGTATTACGTATTGCACGCGTACTGAAATTATTGAAAATGGCCAAAGGAATTCGTGCATTGCTCGACACGGTGATGCAGGCATTACCACAAGTCGGTAATTTAGGTTTATTATTTTTTCTGTTGTTCTTCATTTTTGCTGCCCTTGGAGTGGAATTATTTGGACGATTGGAATGTTCTGACGATAATCCCTGTCAAGGTCTTGGAGAACACGCACATTTTGCCAATTTTGGAATGGCATTTTTGACTCTGTTTCGTGTCGCAACCGGTAAGCATCGATTTATGTAATGAAATTTATAAATTTATACAGAAAAAAACTAATATGATACTTTCGATCTCTTCACCCAAAAAAAGGTGACAACTGGAATGGCATCATGAAAGACACACTGCGTGATGATTGCGACGATGCGGCCGATTGCGTTCGAAATTGTTGTGTGAGTCCAGTGATAGCGCCGATATTTTTCGTGATATTCGTGTTGATGGCGCAATTTGTTTTGGTTAACGTGGTGGTAGCTGTGCTGATGAAACACCTAGAAGAAAGTCACAAGCAAATCGAAGACGACGAATTCGATATGGAAGAGCTTGAACGTGAAATGGTGCAAGCACAAAAATTCGAAGAGGAACAAGCATTGTGCATGCAATTAGACGATAGTTCGGTGCCACGTCGAACCATGCCTAAAGTGCTATCATTGCCATCTAATTTTACGTACACTTCACCGATTTTTGAGAATCGATTCAATTCTCGACGGCAGACCGTGTTCGGCGATGGCAGTCGCTTCTCCGATTTCAGTCGGGCGTCCGTCGATGAACGTATGGCCGAAATCGAATTGGGAGAGATGAAACCAAAGACTAAAAGACGTAGATCGAGCAGCGGTATGTCAACACGTGACAAAGAAATATCTGTATCACGAACACCAAATGTCCGACCAAAACTTAACCGCGAAATATCATTAGATGAACGTCAAATGACGGCAAAATCCACAACAGCGCATAAGCTCACCGATGTCAAGCGTACCAGTTGCGATCAGCTCCTTGTGCGTGATGACAAAACGACGAATTTCTACCACAAACCGAATGCTAAGCCAAATGAAATGAAAGGCGCCAGCAAAGTCAAAACCGAAAAACTGTCCAGTTCAAAGGATTCAATGGTGATGGCCGCCGAAAATGCAAGAGTCTCACTCTATCGACGATCATCGTTGAAATCAGACTATGGAAAACCGAATACGGCCAATACACTCCTTTCGCTATCGAAAGCACAATCGGTATCGGGTCGATCGGGTAGCTGTCGGCAGCTATTCAAGCAACATGCTATGGACGATGAAGCGGATATTGATGAGAATTCATTGTTATTGCCGATGTTAAATAAACCTCAAATCCAACATAATGAACCGAAAAATGCTAAAGAAACTAGCCTATTTAACAAAACCACCAATGAAAATGAGTGAACTACAAACCAATTATGTTGACTTTTTTTTATCGTTTTGTTTCAAACAAAGAGAAAATGCGAGTGAAATTTTTAATTGCAATTGAATTATGGCTATTTATTAAGCATATTCGCTGAAACTTAATCAAAATAAGCGCAAACACGTTTAATTGATGATGAAATTAAGATGTTAAGTGATTTTTAACCAAATTTATTTATGAATGCACAATGAAAAAGGAAAATTATAAACAATTCGATCGTGACTGAAACAATGTGGTTTCTAGTCCATGTGAGAAACATGCTTAAACGAGCAAATCATAATTATTGAATAATGTATAAATGCATTCAAAGACATTCGATATACATATGTACGGTAGGAATTTAGTGAATGCTAGCAATCATACATTTAGTAAGTATACATCCACTCTCACTGACACAACATACAAACAAACATACCGATTACTATTTATTGAGAAAATTAATAGAATATTTAACAATCAATACGAGAAACAACTAAGCAACTGTACATTTCGATTATATATATATACTATATATTACAAACAGGAATTTGATAAGCAATCTATTTTACTAAATCTCTATCAAAAACTGGTTTCGAACATTTCACTTCATGTGGCTAGTCAACGGTAATGGAATTGTCCCTTTCTATACATATATATCTCTATTACTTCAATCAATTTCACTTTGAGTTTGCTTTTTGTTCCCGATACGGACGTTTGATGTAATTATTATTATAATAAAGCCAATGGCCATGGTAGCATTTCATCTGAATTTTTCGCATAATTTTTGTGGGCAATTTTGATATCGGATTCATTGAAAATAAAACTAAAAAAAACTCGATTGAAATTGATGATATTGTGATATAATAAAAGAAGATATTAATGACCCGCTGTCATGAAATAATGTAATAATATTCCGATGAAATTCTTCTATGTGAATACTGTGGTCACAGAAAAATTCATTGGAATATTTCAATTCAATGACCATTTCCGACACTACAAAAAACATACTCTTCTCTTTTTAAATGAAACGGAATTCAATTGTTTTTTTAAACATGTTTTTGCATAAAATTTATCAGTGTTCTGCACTGAAAATTTACGAAAAACAAACGGTTTTCTATGATACAAACAATTATGTGATGTAATATATGATTTTTTTTCTAAATATGTGATGATTTTGTTCTCTCAAAAATCATTCTATCACGTGTACCTTCACCGATTATAAAAAAATGCACTTTTACAACAATTTACTCAGCCTTTCAAAACAATCAACTCAATTAACATGAAAGATAATATTTTTTATGACCAGAGAATGCACAACTCACGTTTTTTCCACACACACAAAAAAAACTCTATCTCGTGAAAATTTGGAGCACATTTTTTCGAGTCAAACCTCTTTTTGACCAAACACTCTCAATAAAACTATATATACAACTTCGACATATTCATGAATTTACAAACAACAACTACTACCACCAATACAATAAATCACCAAGAAATCACTTGTACAAAATTTGATTAGTGCACTCAAGAGCAATATTAACTCTGAAAAGCATATATATATCTAAATATATTTATAGAGCCCCCGTTGATAGACACCCTGTAACCTTTGAAATGGACATTTAAATGATTTTTTTGTAAAACAACAAAAGTGCTATATAAAGTAGGAATTTTTCTTAGAGGTTTAACTATCGCTTCTTCTTTAGATAAATCAATCCAATTACACCAAAATGCAACTTGAAAAACGAACAAATGAAGAAAAAAGCTCCATTTTAAAAAACGGACATTTTTTTTTCTTGATGCATTTTGAACATTGGTGATATATAATATGCGTTATTTAATACAAATTTCATGCCTTCTTATTACTATAGGGAAACTTCTAATTAAACTAAATAAATTGCAAATATTGTATTATTCTATTCGCAAAAGAAGAAAGAAAAAAACAAGCAAAACGATAATAACAAAATGTACACAAAAACAATTTCTTTAGCTGAACAAATGAACATACACATGGACTAGCACCCACTAATTAGATTTAAATTGAACATAATGTATTATACATATATAGATAAAAAATGAAATGCATATTTTTTAAGAGTGGACAACACACACAGAGAGAGAGACACAATGAATAAGAAACAAGAGAAATGGATAAAACCTATTTAATCAAAATGAATGGTGAAAAACGCTAATATAAAACTAGTCTAAATAAAAAATGAAGAAAAAAAGAATGCAAAAAGAGCATAAAATTAGTAGCGGTGATATAACTATACATAATACTATTTTAGGAATGAACAAAAAATGCTATATTTCTAGTGAAGCAACAAACCTATAAATCTTTATGAATAGAGACAAGGTCAGAATCGACAGCTGTAAACTTTTTTCTGTACATAGCGTAAAAGAAAACAAATCGCATATAAAAATACGACGTGGTTTTTTTTTTGAATAAACATGAAACCGTTTAGCTTAAGGTGTGAATATTGTTCAATATTTTTCACGTCATAATATTGTTTATCGATTTTCTTTTCGTTGTTCCGTTGAATACTGTTCATTTTCATTTTGTTGAAACGCGTATCGCTCTTTCTATGTTCTATATATCTGCGTGTGTGTATAATTCAAGTAAATATTCTATTGACGCGATTTGCTAGTAAATTGTAGTCGTTGGGAATATTGGGTTCGATTTGATAGTCATTGACCTGTCTTAGTATGTACTAAACTAATGTATTTATATGCAATAACCCAGTCAATCTCATATAAATAAAAGCACACAGGATAATCAATAAGGTGGATTAACGAGAGAGTATGTAAACATAAATTAATAAATAGAAGATGAATACGGAAAGAAAAATAAAACACAATACTACAATACCTAAATACAACAGCAACAACAACAACAACAAAAATATATTAGACATTTATCGACAATCTTAATCTTGTGCCTTTCTAACTAAAAGTGACAACTCATTCAATTAACTTTAATCAATTGCGTTCCCTGTTTTGTGTTCGGCTTTTTATTTTCATTTCGTCTTGGTTGAATACACCACTATATACCCGATTTCGTTTTCAACCAGAGTCCGAGCTTTCATCTCAATGAATTTATTTGCATTTATTTTTTCTTCGGTTCATTTTCTTCGTCACCGCGAACAGAACAAATAATATTTGAAAAAATAAACAATAGAAGAATACTTTCTATTTATAGATATGCTAAGTAGCTTCAGTTTGAAGCCTTCGAGCGGTCACCGCAAAAGTTTTTAATGATATAAACGTGTACAACTCTTGCATGTGTTAGTAAGAATGTCGACGTTTCATATAAACTGCTCAATTGAACTGCTCGATGACAAGTTTGAATGAGTGCAAACAAAACACACACAAGTCTATTATACAAGCGAAAATGATTATGCATTATTTGATGCAACTTGTTGCAAAGTTTTCGTTTTAAGTTTTCTATTTGAGCACATTTTTGATTCAATCATCTCTAGACACCCATTTCGTTTCTATATTTTCGATAAAGCTGATTTTTTTTATTGATTTATTATATTTTCAACTAGAGAGCGTTTTGTTTGAAAGTTTGTCGATTTGATGAAATATTTATGGTACAAATATTACCCATCAAAACGAATGCAATGAATTGCTTTAACAATTTATCATCTTTAACATTATGTCTACTATTAGTAATAGCATATTACTAAAAGTAGACAGTTTTCACATTTCATTTAGAGAAAATTCGAAAATCATGCTTAGACAATTTAGATGAAACTTTTAACCGCCAAAAATAAAAAAACAAACAGCCGAACTTTTATTTGAAAGTAACAAATAAGCATGACAAAGTTTGGTGATACACATAAAATGCTATATATAATAATAAATAATGCAGAGAGAATTTACTATATATTTTAACAAAAAGAAATTAGATCATTTTTGTTTTGTTTATATTAAATATTGAGAGTGTGTGAAAGAATATATGAAACCCGCATGACAAACAGTTTCAAACATTTAACATTTTATCGAACTACAAATAATATTTTAGTGATGTTGCTGACAGCAAAAAAAAACCAAACAAATTAGTTGATTTTGGTGTGAATGTTTGATATAAACAGAATATTATTAAAACAAACAAAAATTTAGCCTTGTTAACATTGCGAAATAACAATAGAATAAAAAATGTCTTATTATAGATTCTTATATGGATGTTGCAAGATCCGATAGAGAAAAAAAATGGCGAACGAAAAACAAACATTTTTAAAACTGACAGGTAGCATGGATCTAGTTCCAGGGATTAAGAAACACAAAGACACAAATTCCTATTCTCTTCTAAACAAACAAAACAAACAATTATCTCATAGAACTTAGAGAGAGAAATAACAGTTTTAAGATATTAAAATATAGTAAAATCAAGTAATATATACATATATATAAAGTGGTTATTTAAAAACAAACAAAAAATAGAGAAAAAAGCAACCAAAACAAAATAAACATGAGCAACTAATGAATATCGAATGAAACAACCGAATAAAAAAACAAACAAAATCACATGTATATTGCGTAGTGTTAAAGTAATATAGATTTAATGATGAAAAAACCCGAATACAGAAACTATATTACTTGAAAGAAAACAAATAAGTTACTTGTAGTTTCACTTAATCCCTTAGATGTTGTAGAGTTTATCATAAAATTTACTTTATGTTCAAGGTTTTTATTTTTGAATTTTGTTTGAGATTTTTGCTTTTAAGTAATTTTTTGAATTCATTAGACGAAAAAAATCTCCCTAGAAAACTATACTCACAATCTTCTTTGAAAAGAATGGCATCCTCTTGGAAAATGCACCATCTCTTTTAAGTAGAAAATGGAGCATGTATGTATACTCCGTTGATGGGGCAAGGACAGATTTCTTTTTCCCATGAAAAATGAAACTCAATGCATTTTCGTTAAACCATAAACTGCTACATTGCTTTTATTAGTCAAATACTTGCTACGGATTTAGGTAAGTACATATCGTTATGTTTTTTTCTTTAAAAAAAAAGATCATCTCGCACTATGTTTACGTATCGTTATAATTTGTCGAAGTCTTGAACTTCGTCATTCATCTTCATTCACTGTGGATTAAACTTAACGAAGAACAGAGAAAAAAAACACGCAAAACTTTTCTAATTGCTACCCATGGAATCAATGGTAACTAAGTGGTATATCTCTTTGATGGTGTTGAGTCAATAGTTTCGCCTAAAGTAATGTGCCTTGCATATTTGATATAGAGCTAGTTGTATGTAATAGTTATTATTTGATTAATGTGAGCGCTGATTTGTGTATATGTATGGATATTCCATTGAAAAACAAAAACAAAACCGAAAAATAACTCTAAATACCAACTACAATACTATCATCTCAATTTATACATCATTATACGTTCTAAAGGAATTTTCTACATTGGAACCATATTCGTTTCATTAAATACTTCTTGTATTTGAATAAATATCTAACCAAAAGATACCGATGTGTGCTCTTTGATAAAATCGACTTTTGGCTTTCGGTCCGATAAATTCTGAAATGTTTCGCCTCAGTTGAAAGCATTTTACAGTTTTATGGACACATCCAACGATTCGATTTATCAAAAATGACGTTGAATTTCGTGTGTTCAAATCACAAGGGTATTTTTTCGCATGCATTTTAAATATTGAGAGCAAAACATACTCCAATCGATTATGTGCACCGTCGAAATTTGAACCATGAAATTCACACTGTAAAACTTAATCTAATCCAAAGATTTTCATAATTGCACTACAATGCAGAATGTCATGTAGTGTGTGTGTGACAAGAGCTTTGTTTATTCCAAGTGTTGGCTTTTCAATCGTACAGTGACCCGAAACCAACTAAATATTACATACGACTTACACTTAACTAATTATCTGATTCGAATTTGTCACATTCTCATTTCTTTTTATAAATATGTCGTATTGTTATTCGCTCTTCCCTTTCCTCCGTTCATTTTTTTTTTTGGCTTTTTTATATCTTTTTTTTTGTGCATAATGACAAATGGTTACATTATTCAAGTGAGTCGACAAATCTATTTACAGACAAAATATTTTTCATGAGCAAAAATACCAACGGATTATCAGCAACGATTTTACAAGGGACAATTGATAGTGTTCGTGCGCAAAATAATCAATTGGAATTTTTTCTCTTAATTCTCGTTCATCACTTGAATCGTAAGCATTTCTTTGCACTCGAAAAACTATTCCATTTTTATTCCGATAGAGATATTTGTGGTAAGTACTTTAAGGGTTCATAAATTTTAAGTGATTTAACTTATGTATGTACAAGTATTAATTGTGTGCTATTAAAACTGGTTAAAGTGAAGAATATATTGGTATTGCATTATGTTTCGTTCGGATGAGCCAGCATTTGGTGTGTTTTCGGATTATCCGATGAGTCGATATAAGAACGATGTGTGTTTCAGCTCGCAAAAGTTCCGGGTGATAGACTGTCATCTGCAACGAAAAAAACAAACAAACAAAGGCAAGCATTTTATTAGAAAAGAAAAACTTCAATGAAAAAAGATCAAAACGAAATTCCGTCGACGCTCATTTTGGTGCTAATAAAGTAAATGGAGAATGAAGCAATAATGGAGCGTTTCGATCGGAGAGCATTGCATAATAATTTGTCTGACAATACATAAAAATCACTCAATTAGGGCAAATTCGAAGCGATTGTCTCAAGAAGAAGACGACGATGATAGCTTTGAAGGGAGAGCGAAAAAGAGCAATGGGAATGTTGCCAGAGCGAAGCAAACATCCGACAAATTGGTGGAAAACAATTGATGTGAATTTCCGACACAAAAAAATGTGTCTGTTGCCCGCTTCACCAACAATTGGCGACGAACCGATCGAATGTTTTGATAATGGGGAAGCTGCAATTTTTTGTCATAATCATTTGCATTTTTCCAATGTCCTTCACAAGCATTGTGTGTGTGTAATCGATATGGTTGCCTCATTGCATATCCACGCCATAACAAAATGTATATGTGCGGCGAATACAATTGCTATTGCTGCATATTTGCGTTTGCCAAGCGCAGGCACAAAGACCATATATGCGAGAAATCATAAGAATAAAAGAAAACTTTTGAAATCGACCCTCTTTTTGTTGTGGTGTGTGATGCTGTTATTCGACTCAGTGGCGGTCGATTTTTGTACACAATTTTTAAATAAGTGCTGCCGACATCGTCGCCACCACCACATAGCCGCATCGCACTATGACACAGAAAAAAAACGAAGATGAGAGAATTGCTCAAAGTCTATTCCAAACATACATCCTATGTCTACCGAATCTGTGTTAAGCCTGAGCGAGAGGCGACCGAACAAACAAAGTGGAAAACTAATAATAAGAAGAAGAAGAGCGCTAAATTATTGCAGCATGATAAAATCTCAGCCACGGCATTGCGAAGAAGAAATGCAGACGCATGCACAGGCACACATTTCAATAGGAAAAGAAATAACTGTAAAAATCCATTTGAAATACATGTATTAAACGAACACAAATTCGGTGATGGAGACAAAGTCGTTTCTTCACAACCGTCGTGTGCATAGAAGCAGCCTTGTGTTTGTGTATTAGACGGCTAGTGGGAACAACAACAGCGAGCACCCATAAAAAAATATCATAATTTATTTATTGGAGTCGGGAATATTTCAATGTTTTTCGCTCGCTTCGTATTGTCTGTTTGCTTTTAGTTTTTCGTTGTTACAAACGCGTCGTCATCATCATCATAGTTGGTCCTTGTTTCTTTCACCGAATTCATGAACTGTGTGCTTGTAAAAACGTTGAAATGAAAAGCAAACTCGTAACGTATGTGAAAGAAAAAGACGTAGAAAAAAGATTGTTTGATTTAGCCGAGATGCCGACAGTTTCTATGTCGCCTTGGACTCTTGTCAGCGAACAGCAAATGAAAACAAATCTTAAACACTGATTTGTGACTTTCTCCGAATTTATCGCGATATATGGATGCTCAACTTTGTGAGTGTCTTGTGGATAAACAAATCCATTTGCCACGAAATGAACGAGTGTGAGAGAGAAAACACAAGTTTATTCATTCAATGTTCACCAAATCCAAACATATAAAATGTTCTAGCAAATGAACGATATAAAATATGATACTGATGTATATTCGACCGAAAAGTGTTTTCATTTGTTTTACACCAAAATGAAATGTGTGGAAAGAAAAATAAACTGAACCCAGGGTCGCGCGCTGTATATGTCGCGACTTGTATTGTTTATAATACAAAGAAAGATGTCGGTTTACTTTATGCCATTTCAAATTGCATCTTTTGACTCTTACGCTGATTTTTGTTCGGTTGTTGATTGCGCTTCGCTAGTTTTATAGCTGTTTTTGGTGTTATTTGTGTTCACACAAAATAGATCCATTGGTTTTTATCGGGCGTACGGTGATTTTCAACAATATTATCTTCTGTCCAATGTAAGTCTCTGCAAATGCACACAATGACTAACATAACGTATGACTATGTGACGCCGATTTCAAATATTTTTTGGCATTGTACAAGACATTTCAAACCAAATAAGAAAAGAAGAAGAATTCGACTAAAAAAAACATTTCATATTTTATGGAAATTGATAAAATATGCAAATCGAAATTTACTATGAATCCCCTTCATGCCATACAAACACACTGCACATTTTTTGGCACATTTTGAATGCATGGCAAATCATGAAAAATCACTGTGAACTTTACACATCTCCTCCTTCTCTCTTCATTTCTTTTTCTCCGTCGTTTTTTCTCTCAAATTCATTCATGAACGCGTGATTATGAATAAAAGCGATCATTCCGGTTTTTTTTATGTTTGTGTACAGATTTGTTCGTCCTCGTTCCCGGTTGTGTGCAACCAGACATTATCGCTTAATTCACCACGTCGTCTTAACGGAAATATAAAGTGCAATTCGCTCATTTTATGTATGCTTTTGCGTAAAATCCCATTTATCTCTTTTCGTTTGTTTTTGCGTCAGTGCGTTTAGCATAAAGTAATGGACATGCAACATCGAAAATGCAAGCCAACATAAATCGCTCGTAACGGGAACATTTTCGTAAGAAAATACATATTATTTGAGCTCTTCGTCGCAACAACAGCATATTTTTGTCGCCGTAAAAAAGAAAACTTATTGCAATAAATTCTTTTATACGACAAACCAAAGAGAAAGAAAACTAGATTCAAATGGTTTTATGTGTGCACTATTTCAGAAAACTTTTCGAATTACCGTCTGTTCCAATTTTAAATCAATTATGGTACTTGATTTAGGAAATTAAAACTTATTGAAAGACAAATATTTTAATGGAAAGTGCCGTTTGCGTTCGAATAAAGAAAATACAGTCGATTATTTGAGTTTTGCTCTGAGTTTAAACTTACTTTCCAACTGCAAACAAAAAAGTAATATACACCAACCTTTTTCGGGTGAATTTTCAGTTTTCGGTAGAATTCGATAGATTTGTCACTTTCAACAAGTGCGCATTTGGTCATACAGTACAGTAGAGTGAGTACGCGATTCTCAGCGGGCATTTTAAAATGAATTGCTCATTTTTTTCTGTGTGTGAATTGGGTTATTCACATCGATTTGTTTGTCACTAAATAATTCATGTTTATTTTGTATAGAGTGCTATTTAATTGTTGAGTATATTTTATAATTTAAACCCGCCGGTGTAGATTTGCATTGATTATATTGGTGATTATATTTTATTGAGGAGGGTTAATTATTACGGTTATTTTAATTATGGAAATATGTTTCGGTTTGGGTGTTTTTGCAAAAGCCGTATGAAACTAGTCTAATTAAAGCAAAATAGAGTTGTTTGCATTTATAGCATTACGCGACACATAACTTTCACAAATTAATCGGCTATGTTCAAACGAAACTAAAAAAAAAACAATCACACTACATTTAAATGTTGAATATTTTATGCGACTTGATTGAATTGTCGTTGATTAATTTAAATTGTTCCATCATTTTATGAACTTGTTTCATGAACGTTACGATCATTTTGCGGTTGATGTTGCGCGTATCGACGAACGGTTGAGATACTTGATGAAAGGCAAAAATCAAAAATATTTTGCATTGATTTTGAATCCGATTTGTGATTTCATCGAGCTCAAGCCTCTGTACTCTGATCCGAATGAAATTTCGACACAAACTGAAATGGTTGGCACTACAAGAGAGTGAAGATATTTTCTGGCTCGTGAGATGTGATGATTTAGGGTGAGAGTGTGTCGTGATGAGAATGAAAGCCAAAGCCATCATTGACAAGGTATGAAATCGTCGGTCGCCAAAACAGATCAACGCACCAGTGCCAACAGAATGATTTTCAATTTTTCGATTTTGCGTCTCGTTTCGTCGCAATGCCATATCGTTTTGGGGCAATTTTCACTCACACTGTGTGTGATGATGATTTGATTCGGGGCCAGCAAAATCGCAAATTTTCGACGCTTTTTTTATTCTTCATCTTCTTCTTCTTCTTATTCTCTGTGTGTCAATTTCGGTTGTTGGCCGTTCCTTTGACACAAAACTTTTTGGGTATTAGCCAGTTGGATAGCGATAGCACCAGCTCAGCTTAGTTGTAGCATCGTTGTCGCCGTCTTATTTGGCCGAAGACAAAAATATTTTCACCGGTCGATTTCCTTGGCGAACAAAAGCAATACAACACACATCAGCCGCCAGCCCGAAATCGACGAGAGAAATATGTGCACATTGCATACTTTGTCATCGTGTGTGTTCCTTATTTTGCGTTGCTTGCAATGCGGTTGTGTTGCAGACAGCTTGGAGACGATTTAAATGGTTATGTAACTAAAATTGAACCGCGAATTTAAAAACAAAGCAATCAACCGAATTAACGAATTTTATGTTTTGCTACATCGTGTAATGACGAATCATCATAACCGTGGCTGGACTTGGTGGAATCGGGTCGTTGAGTTCGAGTTCAAAATTTAAAGTCCAAGGGTGACAATAAATTTAATTCGATTGTAGTTTTAAAAAAATGGTCAATTAAATTATTAAATAGAACTTTGTGTGTTTTTAATTCAATCAGCATTGAATTTTTCTCTCGCTTTCAAAAACTTAACCGAAACCGAAAAAAAAAAAAACGGAAAACGTCTCAAAAATCCGATTAACAAAATAAGATGATGAATTTGGCATTTTTCTTCGTTCGAACAAAAAATAATAATAAAAGGATACACTAAGTGTGTGTCTGTGTATGCGAGAAAAATGTTTCGGTTATTTTAGTTGTTTTTAATGAAAAAATTTTAAATTTCAACGCACAACACACAACCATTGCCCGTAGGCAACGATTGGCGTGCGTGTTTTGTGTGCCAGATCACACAATACTGTGATGCCAAACAATTCGACACCACTGGCTCAACTCCAAAATAGAAAATTCATTCTTTCGACCAACACCAACTCTCGCATTCGCACACACACACACACACACACACACACAAACATAACCGTCTCACAAATAAAGTCTCTCTTTCACTCGCGCCCGTTTATACTTTGTGTATGCTCTCTCATCGCGTGTATTATTCGTTATGAGAAGATTGCGACTACTCGATTTTGAACCGAGAATCACTCATTATTGCACACACGCAATCCGCCTTCTCTCTGTACAGTGAACATACAGCCGTGTGTATCTTATGCACGTATAAATAGACAAAAGCATCGGCATCCCAAGATTCAACTACTGAATATTTACAAATAGATTACATGTGCAGTACACCCAGAACAGCATTTCATCGTGCGACATCGGTGAAAGAAAAAAATTGGTGTTGGTATACATGTGTTTATACAACGGCAAAACCGCATCAAGTGAAATGAGTGCGCGCGCGAAATATCGTCATTCGTAATGTTCTCATTTTCATGATTATTTTCAGTATACGGTCCAATGCGATTGGGTTTTTTCTGGCTCCGAAATCCTTGCTACAATTCAAACGAATCCTCTAGCATATATATATATATTTATTGTGAGATGCAAAATATCAACGCAAACGGACGATTTACTTTGCTCTTATTTTCAACGATGTCGCCAACAGAAAAAAGCAACAACACTAGCACTGACACCGCTTCAACTCAGCATGTTCAATGTACAATTACAATGCAATAATACTGTAAATCAAACTAACTCATGCTTTTCACCATTTCGAATATACAGTTGCTTTGCGTTTATTTTTGGCATTTGCTCTTTTGCAACGGCGTCATTAATGAACTTTACCGAAAAATCTTTCAAACTTGGCATATCGCGTTCTGTGAATGCGAAGTCAATTTTCGTTAATTTGTTTAATGCTCCACGAAACTAACATTTTGCTCGACCAACAACAACAACTAAATTAAATGCTGAATACAATTCCGATGCATTTGGGCTATATGTAAAATAGTGCTTGGACTTCGGCACGTGCACAATCGGAAAATATGACAATCGCATGGAAAATAAACAATGATTTAAAAATGGCAAACCAAGAAACCACATACGTCCCAAATGAGCATGAGTCCGGCAATTCGCCTCTTTTTTTCTCTGCTTCTTTTAAACGTTCCGTTTGCGAAAGTCTTATTTTCTACTTAATCAACCGATAAGCACAATTTATATTCGATATAAACACTTGCTACATATAAGCTCACAAACAAATCGAGCCAAAAAGCACTCAGAAAAAAAATCTAAACAACAACCGTCTGAATCTCTGTATGAAATGCGACGGCTGTAGTTCAATGTCTAAAAAGTGTTAAAATGGTTATGATGCGATAACCACAAATTACTCACTAAAAACACGCACAATCTCTAATAGAGTGTGGTTGTTTGCCCAATGCAGACCGAACCAGCAATTATTCGAGTACGTTGATGGTAATATGCACGGAAAATAGTATTGTTGTTTTAATCCAATATATTATGGTTTGAGCTGAGGCCGATGATGTTGTTGTCGTTTGCTTATTTGTTAGCCGAGTGTGGCGCGCTTGCTCATCTGCTTTTATTATAACGGGTAACATATTTCCGGCCTTGTTTTTCGCCCATCTTTTCGAGTGTTATTACCGTATCATAAAGTGCTAAGCAGACATCAGCAATTCATTGCACTTTTCGAAGTAGCGTCTCACTCCTGGTGTCGTGTGCCGTTGTCATTGCCGTGAGACCGACCAAAACATCTATCGATGAAACGTAATGTACTTAACTCTATCATGCATTGAAGGCGAATACAGCATTTATGTTATGTATTTATGCGTGTATTCAGTAAAATTACCACGAAAGCCAATTCAGTATTTAGCATTTACGGGTTCAACAACAACAATAACATAAGCATCCTAGCATATTTTGTATTTGATTTTTTTTTTTTGGTTTCCGATTGTTGTTGGTACCGCCAATGCCAATGAATGAATTATCATTTTACACGAAACAACCTCAACAAGAACATACAGATACACATATGTTTACAATTTACTACGGTCGGCCGTTCGTGTTCGATATGGTTGGTGTTGTTGTTGTGCGGCTAGTATCGACGCATTTATGCGTACGTTTTCTGCTCTCGAAACCAATTTGATTATGTCATAATGAAGCCGTTGCTCTCTCAACCTACCACCGCTGTCCTTCTCTCTAGCTTTCTATCTATCTCCTTCTCCTTCGATTGAAAGATGCTCAATTTCCATTGAATATCCAATATAACGACAACGTAACAAATGAATCGGTGTGCACAACGACTCTAAATCGCTTAGGCCGTTCTAAATGGTGAAAATCACCTTTTGCAAACTTTTTGCCACAAAATTGCGGAAACCGATTATGAACCGATTTCTACCGTTTCAAGTGTGAGTGCATGTTTTATAACAGCAATGACATTATGCCTATAAATTACATCATCTTATTATTCGCTATAGCATATTCTCTTCACATTTCGATAAATTGCCACATAAACGGCAGCTAATTAACAGAAGATATAATTAATGCCAAAAGCTGTTACAATAAATGTTTATATTGTAATTAATGTCTAATCCGTATTTTATACGCTCCTCAAAAGCGTAAAAAACCCTTTTATAAGCATGTTGTTTATTTGAATGTTTTGCATGCTTCGGCATAAGCAACTTATCTATTTTATGTTGTCTAAAATGCTCGACTCCAATTTAAAATGACTTTGGATGTAAATGCTGTCGAGAAAAAAAATGTGTACGATTCAAATGTTTGTGTTTTGATGTTAAGCATCCCCAAAAATTTCTTATTCAACCAAAATCCTTCTAATTTGGCAATGATTTTGATCGTTGTATACCGAAAAATAGCGCAGCAATTTGGAAAATGTTTTGAAAATGGTTTTGCATACAAATTAAAATAGGATTTTCATGATGTCTACGAACGCCCGGCACCGCCCTCGCGCTCACAATTTCTATTTTTCTTCTTTTGTTTACTCGGCTGCTGATGGGCACATTTTATCTTATTCAAAGCGAACACACGACAGAGATAAAAACAACAATAACCATAACATGGCATTAAAACAGTGCTTTGTTACTCGAGACGACATCTATAAAAAACGCATCATTTTTTTTTTTTGTTTTTCTTTTTTTTCTCACACTCAAATATTGTGCGGGTTATACGTACAAATAGCATTGCCTCATTCGTTACATTCCAATAGATGCTTGGGAACATATACAGAGAAAAAAAATTGTCAGTTTTAAATGAAGAAGGCGACCGTTTCTTTTCAGTTCATTTTTGGTTTACCAGCAAAATATTCAAAAACATCGATTTAGATTCTCAGCGAGAATGAGCAAAAACGACCAAATCTAGATGGAACTTTTTCTACATATGGTGTAGTTGTTATCAACACACACATTTAGCCAACGGGTTGCTAGAGTGCAGTCGCGCTGATATTTTACAACTGCAAAATATTTAATCGTTATAAACAAACAAATAAAAAGAAAGAAAAAAAACACTTATACACTTTGGCGACAAACCATAATGTTTTTTTGCCGATTTTCATTTTGAGCATAGAATTTTTAGCGGATAGAAAAACAAAGAAACTTTCGATTGTGCACATTTTCGGGATATTGGAAAGTTTGCCAAATGCACAGAATTCGTTTTTGCTTTTGTGATGGCGCGGACGAGATAGTTGCGCAATTTTTGCCATTTGAAATGGCAGGAAATGAGGCGGCCAGAAAAACAACCGCTGCCAACGCACACAAATACACATTGGCCTTAAATAAAACGAATATATTTTTTGTTGCAGTCGTTCTTTGAATGAAAGCAAACGCGGTTAAAGTACACACTCACTTGCACCAAAAGTGCAAGACAATTCATTGATCCCGAATATCGGGCAGATTTATGACACACCAAAAAGAGTGCACAGCATGAACAAAAAAGCAAAATTATTATTTACGTGTGTCTATTGACTGGAAACTGCTGATATGAAATCATATGTAATATCGTTAGACACAGAGAATATGTTCAAGTGAAATAAAATGTCCTATACCAAACCGATGGCACCATTTGGTGTGAAACTTCTTGGAAAATAACACTTTCTCATTTATCAATAAACAATGTTCGGAATGTTTATATATTGAAATGTGCCATGTCAAACCGAATTTCAATCGCATTCGGATTTATGTGAGAAACGCCGACCAAAACTTGAAATAAATTCATTTCAATAAAAATAAACAATTAATAATAGATATCATTTCGCATAGAGTTTTGATATCGATACAATCACAATATTCGACGAAAGTGTTTGTAATACAAACACAAAACATATACATACAAACTAAAGTTAAAATTCCAATAGAATAAATAACTGACCAATTCATTAATCTGATTGAATTGGACCAATTCATTTGGTGTTTGAATCTCTTTGGAATAGGACGTAGTCGGATTGTCAGTGATTAACATTTGTTCAACATTTCTGTAAACGTTTCTTCAAGTATAAGGTTTCAGTGCATTAAATTTCAGAATAGTTTTTGTTAAAAATTTATTTTAAAAAGGTTACACTACACAAAATAACAAAATGGATGAATACAAACATACCGTGATTAACCAACATTTTCATAATTGTACTTTCCCTGGAAATGTAAATCAATTGGGCGAAAGAACTCAAATGCCACGAAATGATATTGATGATGATGCTGTACAAAACCGAATATGTAATATCTGCAACAAATTATTTGCGTCCAAACAAAACAGGGATAACCATGCCCGGAAATATCACAATGTGAATAATTCTTCATCATCCACGTCATCGAGGGCGTCCGCAAAATCGCAAAGACAAGAACGATGCAACAGAAGAAATCAACCAGAAGATAGTACCTCTCATGTACAGTTTACAAGATTGCAAGAAGAAAGTATTGGTGAGATCATCGTTTTTAATATATTTTAAATAAGAAACATTTTATTCCGGACTTTTCTGTCTATTCAACGTTTTTAGCCATTACCGTGAAGGAAGAACCAGACTGTCACATCGAGACTATTGATATAGGTTATTTGGCTCCGGTTTTCAGGGCTTCAAATCTGCCGTCAATTCGTACAAACAACGAACAAAGAATACCATTTTTCCAACAAGTGAGACGTTTATTCCATTGAATGAACACAAAAAACGCTAAGAACTGATGAACAAAAAAATACTTTAGACTAATAGATTACATATTTTATAGCCAATAATGCAAAAATCAATTTCAATTTTTCAAAAAATATTTTTTTCAAAAATATAGAAGTGACTTCGCTTAACATTAAGTAAATTTGAATAAACAGTTTTTTTTTGTCATCACCGTAATCCATTCGTGTTTGCATTTTTTACAATTGAAAGAATGAGAAGAAGCATTTGCAGAAAAATTGAAGACGATTATTTAAAACTTCAACAAAAAAATCGAGCGGCTTTTTCGATTCATTTATTGTAGTTGTTTATTTGTCGTTGTTACACGATCAGATTTCTGCTTTATTTCGAAAAATCACATAAAAAAGTATCAGTAAAAATCCAAAATTGAATTCTCTTTCTTAAGAACCTTTTCTGCGTAGCACTCATAATCATTCTACTAATGACGCTTTGTGTTCGTCATTTCATAATTGTGGATGTATGCGTTATGTATGTATGAATAAAAACAATATGGCTCCAGTTTTAAAGAAAATTCCGTTAAACGGGACAACAACAACAAAATCACCTTTCGATACAATCAAATCGGTCAACGCAAGCGGAACGATGAGACGTAGTTTTTAATTTGAAATAAACAATCAATTTGACAACATACATTCGTCTGTGTGAAGCGTGATGCACTCATTCTATAATTTGTAGTCGAACTGATCACATGGAAAACCAAATTTAAAACGTATCTTTTATTTTGTCATAATTTTAATTTCATCATATCGTTTATTTTGTATTTTCTGAAATAGTTCATAAAGGTAATCACCGAAAATTGTGAAATTCATTGAAATTAATATAAAAATTGTGAATGTGATGAAATTCTACGAATTTTTTTTTCAATAGTTTCAGTTTTGCTTGCGGACATTAAAATGGCATCAACAAGCGGCGACAATATGTTGTATTTGAGCGAAATCCCACCGTTGCATAACACAATGCTTAATTTGTGCAACCATTTTTGCAAATTTGGCAAGATTTTATTTGTCACTGCTCCGTATAATGGTGACAGTAGCGCAGCTGCAGTTATATTCGAAGACAGTGCGGACGCGCAAAATGCTTTTAAAAGTACAGACGCTGTGTTAAATAATCGTTTCATCAAAATGTCATTACAATCGGCTGGAGAGGAACCATCAACGCTGCCACCATCATCTGGTCAAAGTGATGACACGAAATGCTCACTGTGCGCAAAAACATTTGCAAGTAAATGGCATCGTGAAAATCACATGAAACGTATACATACTGGAACCGGTATTAATTGTCACATTTGTAAGGCAACATTCACATCACATAACTCTTACAAAAAACATTGCATCGTACATCATCCAAATGTACGCAATGGTAGTGGCAGCGCCAGCATCAACATGACCAAATCAATTACGGAACGTTTACCGAAAATGGATTTGACAATTGTGCAGAAGCTGCAGGCTAAAATCGAGACGTTGAAAGAAAAGTCATTGAAAACAGAAAAAATGCAACACAAGAAAATAAAATCTTTGCTGAAAAAGAAGAGGTCGCTGAAACGCAAACTCGCAGGTTTGTTGACATTTGTTTTTTTTTGTGCTTTGCAAGAGCTGATGATGATTTTATATTTTACTCTGTTAGATTTTTCTAAACTACTCAAGGAAAAGCAATCCATTGTGTCTGCGCTGGAAACCAATTTGAAGACGATTAAAAACAAGTACAAAATGTTGGAACTAAAATTTGAAGAAAATGGACAACATTTCGATGAACTTCAACAAAAATACGAGAAAGTGAATCAGCACTATCAAAACGAACAGTTCAAATCAGATCTGCTGACTGAAGTGATCACCAACATGAATTTGGCTTCATCTGTGGGTATTTCTTTTTTGTTTCACTCTTCCCGATTTATTATAACGATAGGTCTCTTTTGATTTCAACAGGCTTAAAAGTATACAGCTCAAAAACCCATCATACGAAAACGAAAACCAAAGTATTTAAGGACATCAATGTCAAACGATTACAGTTAAGATACATGTTTTCTCTATTGAATCATATTCAATTAGTATTATAGTGTGCTGTTTCATAGCCATTCAATAAAGTGACAAAAATCTCTTTGTTACTTATTTTATGTAGTCGATTTTCAATCGATGACGTTTTTACATTCATATTCGTTGTGAACCAATAAGAAAAATTGTTTTGACTGAAATGCGGCTATCTACACATTTTGCGTTTTTCGTTCAGTATCGCAACGACGAGTGTATCAATGACATCATAGTAGCCGATGCCAGTTTTGTTTCGCTTAGATGCAGTATTGTGTGTGTGCCCAACACAACAAAGTTCATATTTTATTGTCGATGCTTTAACAATAACATCGATTGATCGAACCTTCGTACTTTTTAAGTAAATATTTAAAATAAGAACAGAAACAGTATTTAAACTGCACTTCAAGTAATTGCTAAATCTTTTTCATTCAATGGTTGGAAATAAACAAAATTATGATAACTCAGTCAGAATCACATAATTAAGAGTATTTTTCAAAGACAATTTATAAAAGACCCAAAATGAAATAAGATATGTACTATCAAAAAGAATAATTTAAGTTAAAATTTGTTGAAAAAAAATGCAATGAAAATGATAACGAAAAGAATTCCAAATTCAACAATTTGCAATGTCTGCAATTATTATTCGAGAAAATGGGATAAGGAAGTACTTAGTAAGCTTCGTATGCATAAAATAAAATATGTCAATAGCATTGTCTAATTTTGTGTCACATTTAATGCGGTCTCTCTGTCTCCCTCCTTCGTTATTCGCAAATTGTGCGGCATTCAACGAATAAAAGTAAATGTTCGCAGAGAAAGAGAAGAGAAAAAAAAGTGCTGGTACTAGTGAATGCGCGCGCGAAAATTTCCAAATATCATGAAATTATGTGCAATGACCCGCCTTTTTTAGCTAGATAATTTAATGGTTTTGGCAATTTGGAAAGCGTCCACATTTTTATTGAACCATCACTGCTCCCCCCATCTGTTGAGATCAAGAGAGTGAGTAAAAGGAATAGTACAATAGAATCAACCGACGTATTGGCTTCTCAACCCCACCCGTTCACATTGAGTCAATTGAGATAATTTTTCGTTGCCATTTACATAAGTAGGTATCGCCACCATCTGATATGCTTCATAATGTGGGGAACCGGCATATGGTATGAGTAATACACAAATGGTTTTTGTGGTCACAAATGCAAACGGCGTGATAATTTAGCACCGATAATTATGTGCTCAGCAACTGTACTTCTCTATATAATAATTTTCACTCAGACACTTAGCATTGTCATAGCGCACAACCGGAATATACGATTTCGGTTGCCATATAATGCACAAAATTGATTTAATTAAATGAACAATGACCGCAATCGGGAGCGTAGCGCATAAAGTAGATGTGATGATGGTATAAATCAAATGGCAATTACATTGAATTTGCTCCCAGCTAGGCTTCCACAGTGGCTTAAATATCAAGATGAATTCGGAAACATTGACCATAATTTGTATGTGAACACAGTAAAAGTCGCATTGATTAAGTAATATGTAGAAATATTTAATCTTTTTTTTGTCTTTAATGATTTTTCTTAACACATTTATTCTATCTATCAAATATTTTTTTTTTGTTCATTCTTTATTGTATAACATTTAAATAAAAACGGTTCATGTATATATATATAAAAAAAGGAATGATTGAATGACAAACGGGTTTAAAATACAAGGCAGCTGTTTTACAACCAAATGATGCATGCTTACATTCTATTCAATTTGTGTGAGTATATCGTTGTTTTTGTTTTATTTTTCTTGTTCATCGCCTGCTATGCTTCAACATTTTACAAAAAGTGCGAATTACCATTGACAAACATGTGATTTTTGTTATTATTCGACAATTTGGACCGGTTCAATTTGTTTCGTTGCCATTCACGATCCTTGGCAATGATATCCATGCGCTCGGCCATTGAGATCTCGACAAATATATCGTGCAAATTTTGACTTGCCGATGCCAACTACAAAATGAAATGGAAAGTTGAAAACCAGAAAATTAAAAAAAGAAAAACTTCAAAACAACAAAAAAAAAAAAAAAAAAAAATGAAAAATTGGCTTTGGAATGAATTGCCGATGGTCGATGGTTTACCTGTTGAATGAGCTGAGATTTTAATTCAATATCGGCTTCCGTTTCACTTTCAGTCTGTGTACCATTTTTAGCCCGTTCTTTGCTTTCATAATGCATGTCCAAAGCGATCAACAACGAGTCACGTCTGGTATTGACGATTGTTTGCACCTTTTTCGTTTTCATCAGGCGACGCGTCTGATGACCTCGCGTATAAGCCGCTATTGTTGTGGCGGCTGCAATCTCTCTTGCGGTGTATTCAACCAATTGATCCGAACTAACTGTCGATAAACTTGACGGACCTTCGATAGACTGAGATTTGTTGAGCTCATCGGAGACCAATTTATTGTCATCATAGTACAAACGCCGCATACATTTTGAGTTTTCTGGTGTGAAACGGGTAAAAAGACGATTGCCATTTGTATCAAGTGCCAGTGCCACATCATTATTTACTTCTTCGATGAGCATTTTTTCATTGGACTTTTTGGCATCAGTCATTAATATTTCGTTCGGTGTGCTATGCTTATTATCCGTTTTATTTGCAATTAAATTCGATATTTTCAGTAATAATTCATTTTGTTGACGCTGAAATTCGGCTTGCATGCGCATTTGTTCCTCCTGTTGACGCTGCACTAACATCTGCATTTGAGCCTCATGCTGATGTTCGATCATTGCCAGAATGTCATGAAAATTTCCATTACTTATGTTTGATGATCGTGATGATATCGGTTCGACACTTGTTTTTGTTGGTGTTCTAGTCGAGGTGGAGTGTTTACCATTCGTCGAACCGTTCACCGATGCAATTGAGCCATTTCCCTTTTTGGCACTAGCTGGGGTCTTGGCTGGTTTACTCGGTTCATAAATTGAGCGTAAAATCGATTCGCTGTTCTTGAAAACACCTGATTCACCATTCGTTTGATTTGATTGTTTCGGTTTTGTTGACGATTTCTGTTTTTTCATTGATTTCACCGCGTATGGCGAACTTGATTTCACTGAATGATTGGATTGAAGAATCGTTGAATTTAATGACGTATTTGAACTGGATGATAAAGACTTGTTATGTGCCGACTTGTTCAATGGAACTTTAGATGCGTTTGGCTTCTTTTTTTGCTCTTTTATTTTTATGCTATCTTTGACGTCGTGGGATTGCAACCGTTTTTGTGGTGTGTTCTTTGGCGTTTTTTTAAATTCATTGACCTGTAAAAATCTCGGACTTTTGAGCGGCGAGCAATTTGAACCGATCTGAATTCCATTGGCCTCCATGTGTTGGAGCAACATCGGGCTCGGTTTTTCGAGTGTAAATGAATTTGATCGAATTATACGCGCTGAGGGAAAGAGGCTATTTGGTGTTGATGCAAATGATTCACGACCCGACATTGGAGTGAAATACAATGACTGATTTCGACTATCATCCAGAGCACCCATTGATGGTGATGAATGCAATGAAAAACTCGGTGAAATATTTTCGACATTAAATTCATTGAAATTGGTGTCGATGATCAAAGATAGCGGTACGTTTTTTGAGGACTTTCGTTCGTTCACAGCACTCTTTTCTTCGAAATTAGGCACGTTGATGGACGGTATATTGCCAAATGCCGATTCAATTTTATCGACTACGTCCTCTTTGAGTGTGGAAATATTGTCATCAAGTAGACTGTCGACTGCTGCGGATGTGTCATAATTGGAAACATTACATTCAATTGCACCTTTTACTAATGTTTCATCGTAATCGCTCGCCACCAAATCCGATTGCGAATTTTTAATTTTTTGCTGTTGCTGTAAACGCAGGCGATGTTCCACATCAATTGCCAGTTGGCGGTCACGACTGATTTCGATGCGCCGAGCATCGTCAATCTGAATAAAATGAAATGAAATAAGAAATAAGAAATAAAAATAAGCTTAAAAACTACACGATTTTTGATACATTTTATCTCTTATTCGAATGATAAAATGGTAATGTAATCAATTCATTGTTAAGGTTATGAAATAAATATAGAAAAATACCGCTTAAAAACATCTTCAATCAAGATTGAGGTATTCAACATTTATTATTTACATCAAGTTGGTAAATTTGCTTTATTCCGTTTAACTGACAATTTTTTTCCATTTAATAAATCCACTAAGAATGCATCTCTGTCAATTTTTTTTTATATATTTGCCCATCAAACCGCTATCTTTTTCGATCTTGACCCGGTTTCTCTTTCAACAAAGCTACACGAAAATTAAATACTTACCACGGGTGGCAAAATGGGTTTACCATCAATTTTAAAAACCGATACAAAGGAGTCACTCTCTTGTGACATTTTTCGCCAATCAAATGTTGTGCGTTAATTTTTTGTTTAATTATGCTTTGTTTCAAATAGAAAAAATACGTTACAAAATAAATTTGGCTTTGTTTTGATTGCTTCGATTGAGTGTTCTCCTTCTAGCGTTCGTTGCTTGCTCTTTCGTTGTTTCCATGACAACTGACATATGTCAAAGTCGTCGAATCGACGGGTGCGTTCACCGCTTGACAATTTTCGGTACGAATTACCGCAACCGGTGACATATTCGAACATCTGTAATCCAATGTGCGCAAAATTTTCAGTTTGAACGAATGAAAGAAAAACAGTGACGATATTTCGAAATTATTTTAAGCAACCACCTATTTTCCATGCAATTTTACAAACTTCACTATACACATGTTCAAAGAGACAAAACATCGTCAGTAAAAATTGAATTTCAAGATAATTTAAGCACATTTTAATTTGTGTAAAAACAGTCTTGTTGTTATTTTGGTGTTTCATTTGTTGTTGTTGTTGGTGCATGTAGCCTAATCTGTCATTTCGCGCAACGCGATTTGTCAAACGTCATATCAGTGTCTGCTGTTCGTGTGTGTGTACACTTTTTTGTCATACAAAAAGAAAAAAAAATCCTCATAATTCTCTTTCTCGTGTATCGGAATGTGTGCATAAAGAAAGCGATGTAGTTGAACGTGATGAAATCGTAATTCATTCGGTTTAAACGAGATCAATCGTTTTACGATTATCTCAATAAATTCATTCATAAATACATCGTAAGACACACCGAATCGATATACAAATTATTTTATTTAAAATCCATTATTATACTGTGTTTGCATCGTAAAAAAAATCAATAATCACTTGTCATTTGTGCGGAACAGCATTCATATTTTGGTGGCATTCAAATGGTTGGTTTTTAGTAGTTTTGCTCAACTTGATTAGACTAAATCGTGGACGAATTGTTTACGTGTCGTTAAATTAAGGTTTTCTTCGGTAATGAGTCCACAACAATTTGAAGAAAACATGCGGTCATCCGGTCCACAAACAGTGCGTGTGTTTACTTGATTGTTTGCATTTCCCAATTGACTTGTGGTGCAAATTTAATTTCGGTGCAAGAAAAATGTGATTTTCATTTTGATTGTACTTTGTCTCTCTCGGTGTTTTTTTTTATAATCAGTGAAAATTCAACTTGTTGGGATAGGTTATGGAATCTTAATTGAGCGCAAAAGCAGTTTGGCTCACGTCACAGCGTTTTTCATGTCTTCTTTTTCATCTATTTATAGCGGACATGGTGAAAATCAAAAACAATTTGTTTAATGTGAACTGAATTCCACCTTTGCGTGCAAAGAAAATTAAATTAAATTAACCGTGTACGACGATCGTTATTAAAAAATGTCGTACACCGAACTTGAGAGCGGATACCAGGGATTACGACAACAAAATCGACCAGGATTCTATGTGGGTCAAGATGGTAACATCGTTTCATATGTAAGTCTTTGGAAAGAATTCATCTTTTTTCTTCGAAATTACACACGATATATGGAAAAATTCTAAGTACAAAAACATGTGTGAAACTAAAGCGTTTTTTCATTTTTCGGTTGAACAGTTGCCAAGGTGTATGAAGTGAGTTTTACTTGAAATGATCAGAGTTCTTTTATCATCTAACCATTTAGTAAATAATTGTTATCACACTCCATTTGCCTTGAATTAACACCAGCTATTCATATTTTATTTGCATGACAAAACCCATGAATTCGTCTCGTGCAAACATACATTCCGGGTGTTTTTTTTTCATTGATATTAATCGACAAATATATGTGTAGATTGGAGAAAAGCATGCAAAAAATGGAAATGTATGTCGAATGATATAGGGATTGATTAACGGACATTAAAACAGATATTTCATTATATTTTTTTTTGACGCAACTCAGATAAAAGCTATAAAAAAAATGTATGACGTTCGGTCATAAAAAATTTTTTGGTGCTTGAACTCTCAAAATCAAGCTTTTAACCGACAAACAACCAAAAAGTGTGTGAATGAAAAATGGCGAATAAATAGAAAAAAAAGAAGATATGCGGCACATGTTTCTGTCAAACATCTTCTATCTCTCTATACGGTACCGCGAATAGATTTACAATAAAATTAAGACCATTTGAATCGATGTTTGTCGGCGCGAGCGTGTTTCTCCTACAACGAGCCACAGTGCAAATAACCGATTTGCAAAAACAAACGCGAAATAAGTCAAATGAAAATAAATCGATTACATCTATATTTGCTCGGACAGTACAATCAAATAATTACGAACGAAAAAAGAGTCAATGCACAATATAGCATATACACAACTGTTGTCGCTGTTTTTCAAAATATATACTATGTAATCTGGCTGGCTGTGAATGCAAATCGAATGGTGGCGAGAATGAGAGCTGAAGTGAATAAATCGCTATTTTACTCTTTTTGCGAATATAGTAGCACATTTTGAGCTCACATCGACATCGATTTCGCCAAGATAAAAAGAGACAACTGAAAATATAATGACAACAGGCCAAAGAAAAACGGTGGCGCAAAGTGCTATGCCGCGCGCGCACGAATCACAGACAACCTAAAGTTCTGTTAAATAGTTAAAACGCGCTTAAAAATAGCTCAGTCAGTCGAATTCGGTTTATTGCGAAAGTTAAAGCGTTCACAAAATTCGACGGTGACCATTTTCACAAAACAAAATAGAAACTATTCTCGATAGAATCTTATAAAGGGGGTTGATTACCTATGCAAGATCTATTCGTGTGGAAAACGACATTTTGTTACCGTGAGAAAACAACAACAGCGAAACGAATTTGAACTGGTCGGTTTGAGATTGATTCACGCATCATTTGGGTGTTATGTGAATTTGCATTCGACACACATACATGAGAGAATGTGAATTTGAGGTGAAGTTTAAGTTTAGTGAAGCATACGCACGAAGAACTTCGAATATAGCAAGGGGGAAAAGAAGAAAATGGATTTTATTTTCGACTATGATGAGGTTAGTGAACTTTTTGATTTTGGCCGAATTGATTAAGCTAGCTGCACAATACCACCAGAGATTGATTTCATATAGATAAGGTGTGGTTATTTGAAGCTCAATCACATTCGTGGAATGTGATCACAATACAAACATACGCTTTGAATCAATTGATTTGAAACCAAAAAGAATATATAATTGCAAATAAAAGATAGAAAATGGAATTAATAATTGACATTCGATTGAATGTATGCCATTTACACGAAAACAACCTTGAATGTCATTCACGCTTGCCGCTTTGCATCATTTCGTATTTATTTAGCAGTATAATTAGAAAAAGCTTTGATGTGGAATCGAGACTGAGAAAATATGTTGAGACGAAGGCAATTAGTCGGATTCGGATGGCTTAAACGCTCTCTTTGAAGCTACATACAAAAAAGAAACGGAAGTTTTGTAAGAGAAAGAGTGACATTCGTGTGCATGGGTTTTGCGTGTAATTTTTCGACCTACAAACAGTCAAAGCCGGTGTTTGTTTACTCTTTTTCTTCATTCAATTTTGAAAAGTGAATACAACTTAAGGTATTTACATAAACATGAACTTGAATTGACTTGCACACACTGCGCGCGACTCGTTTGACGAGTGTATACAAACACAGCATTGTTTATTTATCGCAATTGACCGTATCTCAACCGAATTTTGATTGATGACGACTGGCCAATTTTGCACAAATATGCACGCACATACAAATAGCGCCGTCTTCACTGTAGAAGTTGTACAACCTACAGCCTTTAATACACTGCGGCCAGGCGCACATAACTCATTTTTCTTTATCTTTTCACATACTTGAGCTTGTTTTTCGAGAATAAACTGCATGATAAGCAACGATTAACGAAATAAAAAAACGAGTAGATAGTGACCTCGTTGATAAAGTCGCAATTGATGACTTTTTTCTTTTGTCCAACACACAATTGAGCTCGTTTATTTACTTCTCGTCCTGCTGATAGCGGTTACTTAACTCTCTTATTTGATTCTGTACGATAACTGAACTAAATTAAGAGAATAGTGAAAAATAATAAATATCCGATATGCGATCGTTTCATAATCCAACAATAAGTTCTATGCAAATATGTAAAGAAAAACGATCGAAGGTAACGAGTAGTTTTTATATGTGTTGTATGTGATAAAAATTTATCCGAAAATGGTTACGCGCACGAACTATGTGTTTCACGTTTCTTTAAAACTTGTTCTGACTTTGAATTTCGTGTCGAGTATATTATTTTTATAATTTTACGATTTTCCTCTTGATTGACCCACTCGAGTTCTAATGGAAAATACACACTGAATACACACAACGAAAAGCGCAAACACAAATAAATGAGAGGGAAACAATCTACGAGCCACTAGCTGAATAAAAAGCCGTAAAACTAAATGCGAAGTTACACAACGAAAATCCAAATGAACATAGCAAAACAATAATCATAACAAACACTCACACACACACACTCGAAATATCACAACGTTCATTGGTAACCAGCCACACAACACATGTTTGCTGCCAATGTATGTATCGAATTAAATTGAATTTTGTGTATGAGTATGCGAACGCGAGAGAGTGAATGAAAGGGAGACTGAAACAAGACAAAAAACCCATATATATATATATATATAGTATATACACAGAGAGAGTGAGAGAGGGAAAATACATCGAAAATGTTTCGAAGCCAGAATGAATAGCAAACATCATTTCCAATAATATAAAACGTTGTTCTCTTGAATACGCGCGCTTGACATATTCTAATCATGTGTTTCGGATTTTAGTATGGGAAATGGCATACAAACGGCCGGTTGTTTTGCTTATTCTATCGCGCATTTTACGGGTTTCAATGTGAATTGGTGATTTCGTGTAAAGACAAAATTGTAAATAAAAATTAATCAAAACGACGGCAAAACCCAAACAGCAGCATTAGTGTTGAAGAGATTACGAGAAACAGATGAGTGAATGAACGAAATGACGATGTCTGAATGAATATTGCGTTTGAATTCAAGTGTCCAAAATCAAAATAAAGAGAAGACATTTATTGCAATTTTTTCTACAAGTTTTTAAACCTGATTCAAATCTTGATCTGGCATATACCACGACTGCGAGTGTTCAATTAATCGGATTAAAAAATATACATATTTTGGTAACGATAATAGTAAAAAAATGCAAAAAAAGTGCTGATGGAAATTTTCTGATACAAGTTTTAATTAGAAGCGCAAAAAAAGGTTGTTTGATGGTATTTCCATTGAATTCGTTTGCTACGCATATGTTTATTTGTCGTTTATTATGCGATCTTGCGCCCTCCCAGCTTGTGCAATAGAAACGTTTAGCTAATATTGTTTATGAAATTCAATGAAAATTTGTGAAAATAACACGTTTTCGCTAATTTTTTTTTTGTTTTCACTCAAATATTTACGATTGAATGAAATAAAAACAAGAGGAAGTAAACGCGCGAGCAGAGAAAAAAACAGTCGAAAGAATTGAAACAATGTACAAGAATTATCGTCGGAATTTCATTTTGGCTCAACAAAGAAAAATCGCCATGAAATCGAATACTTTTGGCCCGAATGTGTCAACACATTCATTATGAAGCATTTTGCATTGTGCAACAAAGCAATGATGAGAGCTTAGTAAGAAAGACACACAACGGAATACATACAGCGCAGCACTTGTAATTATAAGAGAAGCAAAAAAAATGAAAGCAATATTCATTGAAATCACTTAAAAATAGCCGATCAACAAATGTGTACGCTGAATCAAAGCCATAACGACGACGCATATCATCTCACGGATTTTATGCTTTATTATTTCGTTCCTAGTACCATTTTCACAAGGAACAAAAAGCAAAAAAATAAATAAATCAAACACGAACAACAGCTACTTTTGTGATCATGAAAATAATGAAATGCGTCGCGTCTTTGTGTTCGTTTTTATTGTTAATGCGTGCATGATCGGACTGTACTCCTTTTGTACTTGAAAACAACAAATCTAACTGCTACGTAAGCAATTGATTTGAATGATAATTTTCCGTTTGAAATGGGCAGTAATTGTGGCTTTAATGGGTAAGAAAATGATTTATTCGCATTCGAAAAATGGGCAACTAAAACAAGCGAATCAAATCATTCAATCTATTTTTTTTTCTGAATTCTATGTAAAAATACCTGCGAATGGAATTTTTTTTTTCGCTTAGCATTTATCCGAAACGCGTTTTTATTAAACCGAATCGGTTGGTGTGTTGTCGGACCATACGCATTTCAATGTCGGATGTATTGGTGCGTGTATGTAACACATATACCTTAAATCCGTTCGATGAACTGATGTAAATGCGTGAACGCCGGCTTCTAAATTAAACCTTACCACCGTGTAAAAGCATATTTACTTATTCTTGAACATAAAAACCTCAAATCGAAGGTATTACCGAATCTCTATATATTTTAATTTGTGTCGAACGTGATGATTAAAGCATATACACACACATACGATATTCTCGGCTTCCCTTCGGTACCGAGCGCACTTCGTTTCATAACAAACCAGCCTTCCAAATAACATGGTAAACATTCGAATATCAATGTCAATGCTCATTCTCCGACACGCACACACACACTCGAACCAATTTTTTTCCTTCTCCCTTTCTCACTCACTCTCGCCACACACACATATTTGTATAAATTTTAACTGAATTGGGATTGAAATCAGCTGTCGCTGTACAAAGATGTGTTCCAGTGCGTGTATGGGTTACATTCCATTCTGCATATGAAGTACGAGTACGGAAATTGGAATTGTGTACTATGATTTATATTGTTCATAAATAAAATGTAGTTTACAGCAATTTTGAGTCAGCTGATATCAAGCGCGCTCGCTCGCCACATTGCATCATAAATGAAATGCACAAGTCACGCTAATGCCATTTAACAGCACCGTTTTTATACCCCATTTTCATTTTTTCGATTTATAGATATTGTTCGAGAGACAAAATGGCACGAAATTTTTCGTTTGGTATTTTCAGCACTTTAATTAGTTTGTCACTGAGACTTTGTTGCTCTTTGTTGATGTGCCGTAGCAAGCACATCCATTTAATAACCGTTCAATAAAAATTCAATTGGATATTTTGTCATGCTTTAAATTCCATTTACGTTGTCATTGTGCTTAAAATGTATGATGATAAATGTTGTAAAATCATTTGTTCGACATAAAGGGAATGCGTATCGGTGTGTGTGTGTTTGTGTGTGTGTGTTTATGTTACAAAACCGTTTATTCTTTCTTTTGTCAATAAATCCAGCGATTAAATAACATAACACAATGTTGACAATGCAAACACATCGATGGTTGACAAGATTTATTTTCATTCAAGCGCGTGCTTTGTAGGTTAAATCAACTAATTAGAATAATTATGACGCACACACCATTTCCTATTCAGAAAATTTATAATTAATTAACAGCAACGAAAAACAAACTATATTTTATTCATCGTGTTAATTATGTAAACTTTTGTTATATGATGTGTATTTGGGTGGCTTTGCGTATGTGAGCGCTTATGATTCAAATTAAATTAGGTGAAATAAGATACGGTTGTGCTTGTGTTGAAGGAAATTTACATTTTTCTCAGTTGCATTCGAATCCTTGCGAAATGAATTTGAATATATTCGATGTCGAATCCATTTCTCTTTGATATTGTATTCGATTGAATGTTGCAATGTAATCGCAATTGAATTGGTAATATTTTAAAATTCAAAGTGCAACTTCCGTGAATTTTGAGCTCGGTGAATTTAGAATTATTTTTTTCGGTTCAGCTCATACAAGGAGAGACATATTTTCTGTGATGTGTCAGTCGATACAAAGATAAAGTGGAAATCAACGAAATCGTTTACGGATTTATTGCATCAAAATTAGAACGGCAATTTAATTGCCAATGAAAATATCATAAATCTATCAACCTTACTGACGCAAAATTCTTTTCATTGAACTCCTCTGTGAGAAAGTGAGAAATTTACTCAAGGAATACAACAGCGAGAGAAAAAGAAAGAAATAAGAGAGAAAGGGAGGGAGAGAGAAAAACAATTCGTATTCGAACATTTTCTCTGGTGTTCAATGCACAACTGGCTTTTGTGACTGTGCTCAAAATCGAATTTCAAATCAATTGACTATTGGCCGAGAAATTAATTCATTTTAGTATCGTCAAATGTTTCGTATAGCACACAACACTCGGGACACTAGTATACACTGTCATAGAAGACCAGTAAATGCACGACAAATTCAATGCCTCGTCGGAGATAACTCTGTTTGTTTTAAATTCAATCGCAATTTTATTTGATAAAAAAAGAGAAAATGAAGCGAATACACTCGTATGATATTTGTGTCTGACGTTTTCTAATAATTTGTTTATAGAAACTAGAACATTTGATTTTGTTAAAGTGGAAGAAAAAAAGTGATATCCAAAGAAAAGGGACTTCCAATAGTGGTTTCACCATTCAATCGAACATAGGACATGACAATAGCACAAACGTGCATGAAAACTATAGCGATATAAGTGCAGTTTGGTAGAAAAAAGTTTTTGTTTGAAATTTTTGTGTGATTTTTATGCAAAACGTTAGAATAACATAAAAAAAAAATGGAGTGGACATGGCTACGTGATTGGTGGCGTTTGAAAAGGCTTCGACATTCGCAATTACGCCATTCACACGAAGATATTTATTATGGTCATAACAGTGACGACGAAGACGACGACGATGATATTTGCTATTGTGACGAATGTGTCGATGTAGGTTTAATTAAACTTTTTTCACGTTTGGTTTTGATTGAAGTGACGAACAGACAAAAATAAATAAATAAACAATCGGATATTATTCACCATTGTGACCATTCCATATATCGTTGTGAATCCATTTACTGTGCAAAAAAAAAAAACAAAAGAATTTAATTGAATGACAAATTGAACGACTGTGAAAATAATTTCTGTGTTTCATATTTGATTCGGATCAGGGTGACATTGATCTTTGCGGAGGCGATCCAAACGATGGCATTGATTCAGATTGCAGTGCATCATCAAATTCCGGAAAACAGGTGCTGGTGGGCATATGTGCAATGGCGAAGAAAGCACAATCAAAACCGATGACAGAAATACTGACCAGACTTCGTGAATTCGACTACATCCACATGATTATATTTGACGAAGAAGTCATTTTGAAAGTAAGTGCGCAAAATATTTCATCACCTTTTTTTATGATACTTTCAAGCATTCTGAGAAATTACAAAATTATTTTTATGGCATGCTTTGAACTTTATGGGAGGTATTATACAATTTGAAGGAAAAAAAAGTGTACAAACATTGTACATAAGAAATAAAAGGGTAAAAGATAGAAACAAACAACTAATACATGATTTTCTCTTTCTATTTCGCCCACACACACCCACACACGTACAAAGGAACCAGTTGAAAAATGGCCTTTATGTGATTGTCTTGTGTCATTTCATTCGAAGGGATTTCCTCTTGAAAAAGCAATCCAATATGCATCACTGCGAAAATGCTTCACTGTCAATAACTTACCGATGCAGTACGACATTCAAGATCGACGAAAAGTCTACGCGATTCTTGAAAGTGTTGGCATTGAAATTCCAAGATATGCCGTACTTGACCGAGACTCTCCCGATCCAAAGCGTATGTAGTCTTATTTAAATTGAGTCAACAGGAACAAACTGATCAGAGCATTTCTTCTTTTATCGTTTTAATTTTAGATCACGAATTAGTTGAATCCGAGGATCATGTCGAGGTTAATGGAATTACTTTCAATAAACCTTTTGTAGAGGTAATTTTATTGATTTTTTTTGTCTCACTCATTATCTCTCTCTGTCATTGTAAAAATAATAACAAATTGTTCATTGTAGAAACCTGTATCGGCGGAAGATCACAACATTTACATCTATTATCCCACATCAGCTGGAGGTGGTAGTCAACGATTATTCCGAAAAATTGGCAGTCGAAGTAGTGTTTATTCGCCAGAGTCTCGCGTTAGAAAGACTGGCTCATTTATTTATGAAGATTTCATGCCAACCGACGGTACCGATGTTAAGGTATACACAGTTGGACCTGACTATGCACATGCTGAAGCCAGAAAGAGTCCGGCACTCGATGGCAAAGTGGAGCGTGACAGTCAAGGCAAAGAGATACGGTATCCGGTCATTTTGAGCAATGCCGAGAAACTTATATCACGCAAAGTTTGTATGGCATTCAAGCAAACCGTTTGCGGTTTTGATTTGTTGCGGTAAGAAAAAAATAATTATTATCTAAATTATACTTCCAATTGAAACCGCAGAGATAAAACAATGAAATGAACCTTTGCCTTTTTAGAGCCAACGGAAAATCATTTGTATGCGATGTGAATGGATTTAGTTTCGTTAAGAATTCGAATAAATACTACGATGATTGTGCGAAAATTTTGGGAAATATGATTTTACGAGAATTGACACCAACTTTGCACATCCCGTGGTCGGTCCCATTCCAACTTGACGATCCGCCAATTGTTTGTATTCTCTTTCAATCTCTGTCACATTTTTTGCCTCAATTGTGCGATAACATTCGGTTTTTCTCAGGTACCAACTACTTTTGGGAAAATGATGGAACTGCGATGCGTGGTGGCAGTAATACGGCACGGAGACCGTACTCCAAAACAAAAAATGAAAGTTGAAGTGAAACATCCAAAGTGAGTTAACGCCATTCTATGAAAGATCCCATAGATTAACACCGATTTTTTTCTAGATTTTTCGAAATATTCGAGAAGTATGATGGTTACAAACACGGTCACATCAAACTAAAACGACCCAAGCAGTTGCAAGAAATTTTGGATATAGCACGTTATTTGCTATCGGAAATTCAAACAAAATCGGCCGATGCCGAAGTTGAAGAGAAACAGGGCAAATTGGAGCAACTGAAAGGCGTTTTAGAAATGTAAGCGAATAAAAGGAGTGTTCTTTACATATTATTGATTAATTTGGTTGTGGACACTTATTTCAGGTATGGACACTTCTCAGGCATCAATCGAAAAGTACAAATGAAGTATCAGCCGAAAGGTCGTCCAAGAGGTTCATCCAGTGATGATGGTAACGGAAATATTACTTGTACGTTCGTTTACATTATTAGATGTTGTGTGTGCTGCACCATTATCTCTATATCATTCACTATCTTTTCTATCCAAGCACGCTATAAAATGTTCACTTTTCGTTAACGAGTATCTCTTCACAACCAAGAAATACCCACCATTTGAAACATGTTGTTTTTTTTTTGTTTTTTTTTTATGTATTCTAGGCGATTCAAAAGAACCGTCATTGGTATTAATTTTGAAATGGGGTGGAGAATTGACGCCGGCGGGACGCATTCAGGCCGAAGAGTTGGGCCGAATTTTCCGCTGTATGTATCCAGGTGGGCAAGGCACATCAAGGCACGACCAGTCTGGTACACAAGGATTGGGTTTGTTACGACTTCATTCAACATTCCGTCATGATTTGAAAATCTATGCATCAGACGAGGGTCGTGTACAGATGACCGCTGCGGCGTTTGCAAAAGGTACGCAATCAATCAATTGATTTACAGTTATGATACTAACCGTTAATTTTCAGGTTTATTAGCGCTAGAGGGTGAACTGACACCGATTTTGGTACAAATGGTCAAAAGTGCCAACACGAATGGCCTTCTTGACAATGACTGCGAAAGCAGTAAAGTCCAAAATATGTGAGTGCATCTCTTTGTCAAATCGAGATTTTATTTCTAACAAAAATGAATATTTCCAGGGCCAAGAATCGTCTGCACGAACTAATGCAATTGGATCATGAATTCACGGATGAAGATCGAATGGCGATAAATCCAACAAATAGCATTAGCATCGCTCAGGCGATAACTTTTGTAAAGAATCCAGCTCAATGTTGCACACATGTGCATGAGCTAATCAAATCGTTGCTAACTATAATCGGATTGAAAAAGGATGATTTGAAAACACGTGACGCCATTCTGTATCATGGCGAAACCTGGGATCTAATGGCCCGTCGTTGGGGAAAAATTGAAAAAGACTTTTGCACAAAGAATAAGTTTGACATTTCAAAGATTCCGGATATTTACGGTTCGTTTTTATACCGAATGTGTTTATATAAACAACATTTATATCACCTCTTTTTCGACTTTCAGATTGTATAAAATATGATCTTCAGCACAATCAACATACACTGCAATACGAACAAGCGGAAGAGCTTTATTTGTATGCAAAATATTTGGCAGACATCGTCATACCACAAGAGTATGGTATTACATTACCGGAGAAACTAACGATTGGTACCGGTATTTGCACGCCATTATTGAAGAAGATCAAGGCCGATCTGCAACGAAATATCGAAGAGGTTGAAAATGAAAGTGTGAATCGTTTAAATCCACACTATTCGCATGGCGTCACAAGCCCCGGTCGTCATGTACGCACACGATTATACTTCACAAGTGAGAGTCACATTCATTCTCTGCTCACAGTGCTTCGATCGGGCGGCTTAGTCGATGTTATGACCGACGAACAATGGAGACGTGCTATGGAATACATTTCGATAGTCTCCGAATTGAATTATATGTCGCAAATTGTGGTTATGTTATACGAAGATCCAACGAAGAACGTCTTATCAGAAGAACGTTTTCATGTCGAACTCCATTTCAGTCCAGGCGTCAATTGCTGTGTTCAAAAGGTAATAGTCGACGCATTTTCGCTCCATTTTTTCAATCCAAACCTATTTATTATTTTAAACGTCTCGATGCAGAATTTGCCTCCAGGTCCAGGTTTTCGGCCACACAGTCGAAACGACTCAATTGCTTCAAAGAACACGGTTAGATTTGATTTATTTTGCGTTCATTTTGGATGTTTTTACATAAGAAATGTTGGTTTCAGAGTGGCGAAGATGATTCAGCTCCCGCACGAATCGACGAAGAAAGTGATAGCCCGCAAGATGAACAAAAGAAAAGCGTTAGCCAAAAATCAGTAATGTTCAGTATTGTAAGTTTGCAAGCAAATAATTTAAATTGTGGTTTTTTGAATCGAAATATTTAAAGGGTGACGATGCAAATGATGCAACGGAAAATCCTCCGCGAATTGTAAGCAAACATCGTCATACACGTGCTTCGAAGCCCATTCCAATTGGTATGCATCATACGGTGTGTGGTTCCGAAGCGGTAAATTTGGCAAAGCGATTAAATGAAGAATTGGCCTCGCAACAAGTGACACAATGCGGTTCATTAGGTAATACAACCACGACCGGTTCAACAAAAAATAGCCCCGAAGAGTTGCGATCACGCTCACTAGAACAAGGTGACAAATCAAAAGGTAACGCTTTGCGAATGTTTTTGCGTTTTTTTTTATTTGTTCTAACCAGCTTAGGCACGTTTTCGTAAATAGCGTTAACCCAAGAAAAAAAACCAACATAGTTTATTTTTTCTCTCTCTGGAAAGAAACAACAACGAAAACTTGCACGAACAATTTCACAACAGCTAAAGAAAAAAAACCACAAAATTATCAAAATTTAGCCAAAACAATGTAAACCATTCACAATGTCCATATTGATGTGGATTTGCATGCTAAACCCCCGTTAAATTTGCCGTTAGTTTTTTTTTTTGTGGTTTTTTCGTTTGATAAATTAGATTCAGTTTTCTCGTTGGTACGGAGAATTAAAAAGAAAAAAAAACGTTTTTCTATTTACTTTCATTTCTCTTGTTCAATCCCCATTTCGAACAAAATGAATCGAGAACTCTTGTTTCTGCCTCCAAAATGCTTACAAGAGTCTTTCAAACTTGAAACGACTACTTAGAAATCTAGCGCTTTTGTATATATTTATTATGTAAAACAAACAAAAAAATTGCTTCAATTTTATCTTCAGCCGGCTATTCGCGCTACAAAAGCCTACAAGCTGTTAACAAAGAAGGTAAATTCAACAGTCAAATAAACACCATTACTTTCACACTCTCGATATCGTCATGAGAATTAAGTTAAAAGGAATAAATGGCGACAATGGATTAAACATTGGAATCAAATTCACATTTATTAACGCCAAATTAAGGTTTTTTCAAAATTTCACAAAATCCATTGTTTAGTTCATTTTCATCTGGAATTAATAAAGTATATGAGTACTTCACGATCATTTTACATAGAAATGCGACGACAATTTTGGGTATTTTTTTCAAAATTTTGAAAAAGAATTTTTGTTGGAAAACAAATTGGTTCATATAAATTTTTTTACATTACAAAACAATATAATTTTACTTTTATTTTGCAAGAAAACGAATTTAATCACGATTATTCGATGAAATTTAAAGATATCTCATCTGGTCTAGTTTTGTCCGTGTCTTTGGAACATGATAACGCCGAATATGACGATTTATTGACTGGCCGCTGAGAAACGATTTTCTTTTTATTGAGAAAAATAAAAGCGATTGTTTTGTACGCAGTGCAGTGTCATTCATCTTGCCATTCAAGAGGGATGTCAATTGCACGTAGCTCAAAACAATTCCAATTTTTCCGACCACGTCTCTTGCCGTCCAGCCAATAAATTCCGAAACAAATTTCTGCCCATTGGAAAATCCATTTTTTTATATTTTCCTTTTCGTGTTATGATCTGTTAATGCACACAATTCATTCACAAATGACTTAAATTTGCATTTTGAATCCCATAAAAACAAAAAGAAAATTTTATTTCAAAATTCTCGAATGCCAAAAGAAAAATCAATTTGACTATAGAATAAAAAATCCGCACCGATATCGAACATAATTTCTCATTTGCTCATTTCGTTCTTTATACACATTCTGCGGATTCTAATTTAATATGGCATGTGTGTTTCGTGCATTCATATTCTAAAAAAATCCATTTTGTTTTTGTCCGTTCTTTATCCTCTTCAAAATTAACGAAAATTGGCAATTGTTGTTAGAAATCCGAATAAAAAGTTTGAAAAAAAAACACTACGATATCCTACGATAGAATTAGTTTGAGCATGTAGTTGCATAACACAAGCACTTAAATTCTGATTGGTTGGCTTTAATCTAAAATAAAACAAAACATCTGTTGGGTGATATGATGGTTATCTGGTATTTTGCTTTGACACTATTCGTTATAAATCTTAACCAAAATCGAAAACACGCGACTTGGATTGCTGCTTAAAAGTGAATGTGTAGAAACAAAGAAAGTAAAAACGAGTTCAAAATTTTCAACAAATTTTTTCTTTTATTCCTTTTATGATTTGAATGCGATTCCTATTGTTCTATGTCGGATTCATATCAAATTTTCACACTCACAATTTATATTAACGTTGCTGAACGCGCGTGTTCCACTAACCAAAAAAAAAAAAAAATGAAATGTTTTAAATGAAAACTCCTATCGCTAAAAATTAAATTTAATTTCTGAATTTTGTTATTATAATGCGATTAGAGGAGCATTTTGATCCGTACAAAGCATTGTCCCAATCGACTCGTTTAAAATCCGTAATGACCTATGAATCGGCCACAAATGAGCTACCGCTTTCGTCAATAACATTTGATAAATGTAACGAATCACCCGACCCAGATAAATTGCATCGACTCAATTTCGATCGTTACGACGTCGAGGAAGGGCGTCACGCAATGTCACCATCGGCCACAAATGAACGTCCATTGTCCTGTACATGTTTACCAAACATGTTTAACGATGATCCGGTAAATGCACCGGGCTCATTTTATGGTGACATCAACGATGAATTTCTCTTCAGCGAACCCATCCTATCGTCCTCATGCCCAATACCGCATGGTCATTTCCCATCCAATGACAATCAAATTTTTTCCGCCGATTTCAAAGAGCGTCTTAACGATTATAATGCTTTTCGTGAACATAAACGATCACATGCACCACGCATTTTTCTTAACAATCAACTACCAAAAATGTCCGATTTAAAATCAATGCAAAAAGCCAAACTTAGTACCGATATAACAACAACAGACGGTAGCGAATGTAGTTTGCCAAACCTTCCAATCGACTCATTTGATCTAAAACAACATTCAATCCATTCAACAACTAATACCAAATCATTTGCAACGCATGCAGTGTTCAAAAAGCCAATCGTCACATCATCTCCACAATTATCGTCCGATCCTTCTGTTTGCAATGCATACTCGCTAACCAAATCGAAAATTATTTCAACCTCTTCTAATTCAACCAATTCTAAAAATGTACCTAATGTTAATAACACGACCATACCTCATCCAAATATCGTAAAAATACATAATTCAGACGGAACACAATCGACACAATGCTCGACGAAAAAACAGGCCAGACACAGTATTCCGAACCAGATGGGATTCTTTAAAATTATGGATATAGCTGGAGGTTTTAGCAGAAAAATGGCAACCAGTACAAACAGTTTATTTTCGACGGCCGTTATAAGCGGAAGTTCATCGGCACCAAATCTACATCAAATAAATACAGCATCACCATCAGGTACTGAACAAATATTCAAATCATATTTTTCTTTTGTAGAAAAACAAAAAACAAATGGTAAAATTGAATGGGTAAGAATAATCATGAGCTCCAAACATTATTTAAAAAAATACTGATACAAGACGATGAATTAAAATAAATGAGATACTAACTCGCGTTTAAAATAAATCTGATACTTGAAAGATATTGAAAATAAAAGTGGTATGTATCACATTTATTTTCAATTCGTTCAAGTATCAAATTTATTTTCAATTCTGGCTAGTATCTCATTTATTTTAACTCATTTGTGCATTATACCGAGTCTCCGAGAGTTTCATATAAGCCTTCCCATCTTCGATTTAGAAATACTATTCAATTTTCTGTACCATCTGGTGAAA